CCACCCCCCGACTCTGGAACACAGCTAATGTAAAAACCCAGAGCACCTATACTTCTCCTTCACAAACACTGATGACTGTTTGGGGTGACTGATTCTTTCTTTTGGTTGTTTGATTGGTGTCTGTTCTCTTTCCTCTGCCCCCAATAAGCTCCCTGAGGACAAGGAGCTTTCATTGTATCCCCGGCACAGCACAGGATGCCTGGCTCAGAGAGGCCCTGATTAAATATTAAGTGAATGATGGCAGAAATATGATCTGCCAAAAACTTTAAAGCAGATTATTTCAGATCACAAATCATTTTTAGATAATCACATTTATGCAAATCTATGCTATTTACAATAAAACCCTTAATTTACTGATACTCAGGGAGGATATATTGCCAATAGAGGGAAACCAGAAAATGAGGACGTTAAGACATTAATTTAATAACAATTTAGTGACAAGGAAATAGCTGCACCTTCTGATCAAGGGGTTCTTACGGACTGTGTGGTTTATGAAGTCCCGACTGCCCATGTTTACACGTTTTGAAGACTGGCTGTGGAAAGGGCAAAGCTGTCACTTCCCAGGCTTGAGGCTACAGCCTACAATCAGAAGACCTCAGAGAAAACTTCTGGACCAGGGACCGTGTGATAGAACAGAGAGCTACAAGGTGGGCCTCCCAGTCCTTCTCAAGTTCCTGGGCAGATGCCAGGAGCACAGGCCAAAACAGGACAAGTCAGCTTGTTGTATCCTGATCACTTTCTTCCTTCTAAAAAGTTGAAAAGAAGGCTGATTTGGCATTCATTCAGATGATTGCAAATAAATGAGGAAGAAATGGGGCCCCCATGGTGGCGCAAGGGGTTAAGATGCAACCTATGAAGCTAACCACAGCCACTACAAGCAGGAGCTCGATCCCCCGCCAGGGAGTAACCCACATGGCAGCAGCAGACCTCTCCTGACTCAGTATATTTCAGTCAGTCTGCCTGTTCTGTTCCGCACTCTGTCTCTGGTTAATCCTCTCACCCCACCCCCACACCTCTGGCCTGTACCCCAGTTGTTGTTTTCTTTTTTCTTTTTAAGATTTATTTATTTATTTATACAAGCACTGGGCACAGTCAGAAGCGCAGGAGGGTGAGAGAATTCACCAGAGGCAGAGCAGGGAGCAGAAAAGGCAGAAGGACCGAAGTACACTGCTGAGGGGAGCATCGGGCGGCAGGAGAGGTCTGCGCGCCATGTGGGACCCTCACCCGGTGGCCAGGGATCGAACCGGCACTGCAGAGGCTGCGAGCACCTTCGCAACCCAGCGCTCAACCGCTGCGCCACCGGGGAGGCCCTGTACCTCAGTTTTTGTATGCATAAAAATGAAATACATCTTTAAAAAAATGAGGAAGAAAAAAATGTTTAAAAGTACAAGCACTTCAACAAAACAATGCAGTTAATGTTCTTCATCTTGTCAAGCCAGACTCCGAAGGGCCATGCCTCTGGAGAAAGACCACCTGCCTTCTATCTGCTCTCTTCTCTTGCACAAACTTATTCACAGTTCAGTGCCAATTTCCAACAAAATGGGGTTTCTTTTTCATTTTTACATTGTGACCTTCATTTATCTTTCAAATATTTTATGAAACATAAAATCAAATTCAATCTTCCTCACTAAGTGATGTGGATCTATGATTTTCTGGGAGCTAAGTTTACTCCATTCTTTTGTGTGATAAAAAGTAAGGAATCTGGGCCTCCCCTGGTGGCTCAGGCGGTTGAGCATAGCGCTGTGAAGCTGTCCGCAGCCTCTGCAGTGCCAGTTGGATCCAGGCCTGCCGGCGAGGGTCCCAAATGGCGCAACAGACCTCTCTTGTCTAGCCCGCTGCTCCCCTAAGCAGTGTATTTCATCAGTCTGCCTGTTCTGTTCCCCGCTCTGGCTCTGATGAATTCTCTCACCCTCCCGCACATCTGGCCTGTACCCCGGTTCTTGTATAAATAAATAAATTAATTAACTTTTAAAAAAAGGAATGAAGTTCTATTGCTAAATATAGGAAAAATAAAAATTTTTTAAAAATAAGGAAGCTGAGGAATGAAGATTACGTCTTCTCTGGGACATCTAAAGCTATACAGCTTCTTTTCCTTCCTTCAAAATGTTGTGCACAATAAATTATACTGCAGTAAAAATGAATTAAGTGAGACAGAGAGCAGAGAAGAAAGAGGTGCTGTTTTGTTTTTTTTTAATGGGGCCTTTAATGGAAAGTGCTTTGAAGCTATTAATTTGGAAAGAAAAGAATCAAGTAAAAATACATTCTGTACATTTAAGATGTCCTTTCCTTTGCCTTCATATAAGTAATTGTGCCAATGTGCCAATGTTTTATTTTATGTAAAATCATTGTGGTTCCTGTATATCCTAATAGTCTGCAAATTCTAAAGTCCTTAAAAGCAGACAGAAAGTTTAAACATTTAAATGCTGTTTAAATGCTGTTTGATAATTTCATAATAACAATAAGCAGGGCACTTTCTCCTGTGTATCATCAGTCATCCAACTACCCTTTTACTTTTGCATAGCTCTTCCTACTACGAGGAGAAATCCTAAAAGGTCAGATTATAAAAACCCAAAGAGATCCATATATTTTTCACTTTCATACTCAAATCCATCTCAAGTTATGAACTGCCTTCATCCTTGATATTTTTGAAAACTCATTAATTTTATTTGTCCTTTGGGCGAGGAAGAGCAAGTCGTGATCAGAGGGGAAACTGCTATTTCTTGCCCTCTGTGGAATCTCTCCTTTATTTCACTTAGTAGCAGCTGGGAATGCAGACCTGGGTTCTGGCCAGGCTGGGGAGGAGTAATTTTTTTCTCTGTAACAATGAGTATCTAGCTGAGTCCCTTATCACATAGAAAATTTTCAAAGTGTATTTGGCAAAAGAATGGGTGAATGAAAAAGTAATACAATGTTCATTGTTTTCATGTTTTAAAGTGAAGCATTTCCTTTCCTTTATCTTACTAGTTTGAATTAGATTTAAGAGAAAGAGATCATGGCGCTGGAAAATGTTGACTTTGGGGAAATTTAGAAATTAGGACCTTTGCTGAAGAAGAACCACTCGAAATATCTTGTCTGAGTGACACTTTGGAGTCTTTCCACGTGAAGCAATTGTCTGTGCAAAATAAAGTGTTCCCAGCAGTAGAAATATTTAAATGTTTTCATTCAGGTGAAGCAGTGATTGGTCCCAATCAAACCACCACCACTAAATTCTTGCTCATATCTATAAGGAAGAGTGTGACTTACTTTTATTTTATTTTTTTTAATAGAGGCATGTTTTTATTTATTTATTTTGTTTTGTTTGTTTATACAAGCACTGGGTACAGTCAGAAGCGCGGGAGGGTGAGAGAATTCACCAGAGCCAGAGCGGGGAGCACAGAAGGCAGAAGGACCAAAGTACACTGCTGAGGGGAGCAGTGGGCGGCAGGAGAGGTCTGTGCGCCATGCGGGACCCTCCTCCGGTGGCCGGGGAGCAGCCGGGGATCGAACCGGCGCTGCAGAGGCTGCGGGCAGCTTCGCAACCCAGCACTCAACAGCTGCGCCACCGGGGAGGCCCAGTGACTTACTTTTAAAGAAATCTTTGTTTTTATCTGATCTACAGTTGAATCTGTAGACCAACTACAGATTCCTTTGTTTTTACTTTTTTCTTGCAATGACTGTGGGATTTCGCATTTGGTTTCTCTATAAAGGAATGCTTGTGTTTCAGGGGTAAAGGAATGAATAAATCCTAATCCTAAAAAGATAATTTTTTATTTCAATGTGCCTACATAAAAAACTCAAGCTCCTGGCTTCTCCCTGGTGTTGCTCTAAAACGCTGTTAACTTGGCCACCAAGATGATGTGTGCCTGGGGTCAGAATCAAGAAACTGCCTTCCCTTCCTGTGGGCTCAGGGGCTTCCCCAGGAAGAGGTGACTTCAAAGAAGGTACTTTGCCCCATGTGCTAAGTGGGGGCACAAACTCCCCTTAAAGGTAAACTTTGCAAACAAGAATAACCTTGAAGAACGCAGATCAATGCTCAGGTACGTTGCCAACCACTTACGACTCCCCTTTGACATTTCACAGATGTGTTATTTACGCTGGAGGAGCGGCAGCTTTCTGCCCTGAAGCCCAAATTTCTGCCTCACGCCTCAGGGGGTTTGGGAAGCTTGTGGCATGAGCGGCTCGGTAGCCAGGCACCCCCTCTTGTCTTCTTGTTACACTGGGGTCACCTTGGCAGAATCTTTCCAAGCCTCTCTGGGGACTCTCCTGTGGTGCCCTGACCAGAGTTTCCCCGGGGCCTTCTTTCTGTTCCGGAGGTCTCCAGTGAGTGCGGAGCTCCCACCCCTTGGATCTGCCTGAAAGCTGAATCTTCCCGCGGTCCCCGCCCCCAAGCTCTGCGATCTTGCGGGGCTGTGCTAGCCATTAATGGCCATCATCCATTTTTAATCAGAAAGATCACAAGCAGGATGGTAAGCGAATCCCAGTCGCAAGTCAATTTAAATAACATTCCTGGGGAAATCCAATCACTTCAAACTGAGTCACCCACGCGAGAGAAAGCCCCCGCCCGTCTGGCGGGGAGAGCAGGACCGCGGGATTCATCCGGATAGGGGGCTCCGGGGCTGAGCGCGGAGCGTTAACCCTTCCAGCCCCAGAGGTGACAGTGGGGGGGAAGAGCGCGGCCAGCACGGCCACAATGCCCGCGGCGGCCCCGCGCAGGCGGCTTCTGCCATCTGGGCGGCTCGGGACGGCGCGCGCCGCGCCCGGCGGGTTGGGCGCAAGGGGTTGACTTCAGCAGCTCGCGTGGCCGCTGCAGCGGCGAGGGGCGCAGCCTCCCGCAGCCTCGGCGCGCCCGGGCTCCTCCTTCCGCCGGAGCTAGGCCGAGCTGGGGCTGCTCGGGTCGCAGGTGGCGGAGGCGCGGGAAGCGCGCGGGACCGAGCCGAGCGCCTGGGTAGAGGGGCGCGGGCCCTGGGACGGACGGATACCCTAGCCCCCCGCCCGGAAAAGGAGCGGCGAGCGCGCGGGCCATGTGGGGACCGGGGGTCACGGCCGAGGGCCTGCCGGTGGCACCCGCGCTGCTGCTCGCGCTGGTGGCGCTGGTGGCGCCCTCGCGGGGCGGCGGGAGCTGTGCGGAGCTGGCATGCGGCGAGCGGGAGCGCTGCTGCGACGCAGCGAACGCCACGGCTGTGCGCTGCTGCAAGCTGCCGCTGCACGCCTTCCTCGACAACGTGGGCTGGTTCGTCCGCAAGCTCTCGGGGCTGCTTATCCTGCTGGTGCTCTTCGCCATCGGCTACTTCCTGCAGCGCATCATCTGCCCCAGCCCACGCAGGTACCCGCGCGGTCAGGCGCGCCCGGGGCAGGCGGGGGCCGCGGGGCCGCCCCACGACGACGACGCGCCGGCTCTGCTGCGGGACGAGGGGGCCGCGGGCTCGCAGGACTCGCTGCTGGACAGCGGGGGCCGGGGCCGGGGTGGCGCGCGCGCGGCCCCCTCCAGCGCCTCGGAACACGAGCTGCGAGTAGTCTCGCCGGCGTTCCTGCAGCTGCCCAGCTACGAGGAGGTGAAGTACCTGCCCACCTACGAGGAGTCCATGAGGCTGCAGCAGCTCAGCCCCGGGGAGGTCGTGCTACCCGTTTCGGTGCTGGGCGCCCGGGAACCCGACGGCGAAGGCCGATTCCCGCTCATTTGAGCTGCTGGGCGTTCGAGGACCGCGCGGGCTGTGGGCTGCGGGCGAGACCTTAAGTCCGGCGCCTGCAGCGGACACCAACTGCCTAGAACCAGCCCGGCACACCGGCCTAATCGCCTGTGGCGGGCGACCTGGATTGGGATCACCCTCCACCCTGCTCTTCCGCGGGATCTGAAGTTTGACCTTATTTTATTAGGTTCAAGAAGACGCTGGGCTCGCGCGGTGGGTGTGGGGACAGCAGCGGACCAGCGGAGCGCACCCCCGTAGGATACCTACCCCCTCCCTGTCTGGCCTATGATTGTGCTCACTCCAAGTGCCGGCGTCCCGAATCAGAACGCTTGAGCCTTGAGTGCTTGGAAGGAGGGAGAGGGAAGCTATACCTCTCGGTTACTTCTCCCCTAGACAAGTCAGGATTTTCTAGGGGTTAGGGGGGCCGGCGGAGCCACCCGGCAAGCGCACCTGGAGACTGCGGCGGGGCCTGGGAGCACCTGCCTACAACCGAATCCCCTCTTTGAGGGAAGCCCCAAAACCCTTTGTTGTCTACCTAGTCATGCACAGTCACAGCTGAGGGCTCACACTTGGTGGGGGATACCGTGGTTTCCTGTAGTTGCTGTACCTACTCAAGATAAGCAATTACGTATCTCCAAGACGGTGTTTATGACAAGGTACAATTGAACTTTTGATTTTTCAGTAACTGAGAAGATATTTATATTTATTTGGCTTTTATTTTTATAGTTCTACCATGCATTGAACGCTTCAGGATAGTATTTCTGCGACTGATGACAAGATAATCTTATCACCTTCATTTAGGTCTTAATGGCCAGGAAATCCTCTACACTTTCTTGTTATAATTAAATGAAATGCTGGACATTATTTTATTTAAAATGGGGGAAAAAAGAGGCATGGTCAAACGAGAAAACATGTGACATAAAAAACATGAAGGATATCTTATTTTCACTATTTGAGAAGAATATATTTTATTTTTAGTACTGTGGCATAATATATAACTTTTTATATTAACTATACATGGTGTAATCTGGGTCTTCATTATATCATTCATCACATACTATATGTAAAAAGTGATTGATATATGTATGCATCTACATGAAGCATGATGTCATGCACTTCCCCCTTCATTATGCTTTTGGAATCCATTCCGCCACATGATACAAAACATAAGAACTTGATGTGACCTGTAACTTTTGTTTAAAGCCATAACTGTGCTTTGATGTACTACAGGAGTCAGTCAACCTATCTTTAAAAAAAAAAAAGTCATTGTATCAGTTCTGCCATTCTGTGAATTGTCTTTTAAGGGAATGGTGGTATGAAATATCTTAAAATGCTTTGTGTATACTGTACGTAGCCACGTCCTCTGTGTACAAAATGCATATTACATACCATTATAATTAACACAGTTTATGGTTGTCATGAAAGCAAAGGAGCTTTCTATGCTTGGGGAAGGATGAGTATTAAGAATGATTACACACTTTGACCTCACACATGTATCTAGAAGCATTATTCTTTTGATCAAAAAAGTGACAATCCCGAGAAATCTTGAAGTGTCTGAATTGTTTTAGAAGAAAATGATTTGATGGCTTTAAACTTTTGAAAGCTGGTTGAAGAAGGCTGACAGTTCTCAGAATCTTGAAGTGTCTGAATTGTAATAGAATGGCTTGGCCTAAACTAAAAGCTAACAACCCTGTCATTAAAGAAAAATCATTTGAAGTGCATTAAAACCTAGAAAAACATGAAAATCTTTCTCTGTACAAATTGTATCAGATGTGTGACTAGGTGGTAGGATATTAAAATATGAAATGTGTTCCTTTGTCATTTAAAAGCAGTTTTAAGTTGTGAATTGGCAAAAGCATAGGGGTTGAAACTATATTGAGAATGTATATTAGTGCTAGTTAAACACTGTAAATTTTAGTTGCGTATGACTATCAATAGCACTGACCACTCAAACTAGATTGTTCTCATATTCTTTTAAAGGATTTACCTTTGAAGGCACACTGTTCTAAACACTTCATAAAACTCACCCATATTTGAAACATCAACCTAAATCTCCAAGAACCAGTACATGAGGTATATTGCCCTCGTTGTTACTATTTACGTCTTGAGCTTTGCAACAAAATCTTTAAAGATACACTTATAATATCCATCAAGTATATATTCCCCCGGTATTAACTATTGTATCAATATTTCTCTCCCTAAAATTCAGAATGATTATTAGGTAACATCAATCATGCAATGAGGTCCTAGTGGATTTTAAAATTACAAGTATTACAGTTTTTTTTGGTACACATCACCCATGCTTAATTCATATCCCTCAGTTCAATAAAAATCAGTTTTAGTCTACTTTGGTTTCTTTCCTTGCAATTCATTGATTTACCAAGAATAATTTTGTCCAGACATAATGTAGAAACAATCTTTAAAAACTATTTTTATTAATGTAAGTGAACATGTCTCATGGTAACACACACATATAATATGCCATGTTAATAATAGAGCCAATATAGTCATGATGCTAGAATAAGGGTAGAAACATTTTTGAAGCACTAAGGGCAGTAAGGGCAGTGTGTGTTTTGTTTTAAGATTTCACCTGAAGTTATATTACATAGAACGGTTATATGCAATTACATGAGTTAATTTATGTAGAAAATAGTTATTTTATTACCTTAAAATAATTCATGATGTGATGGTAACTTATTTTTAATATTATATATCTACTCATAGAACACAGCTTTGGGGGGTGGTGATAGAGAGAGAGAGAAACATGACTGATAGTTTTTACAAGGCTGCTACATATATACTTTCCTTAACCAAACCCACCTGGGAATGCCAAGCTCTCCAGTGCTAACTTTTGCTCCCGGTTTTCAGTTATTAAAGCAATTCACATACTAAAACATTTCAGCGATTTTACTTTCACTGACTTCTTATGAATAATGGTCCTGAATATGGTAAGAAACCAGCTGGAATGTAAGAAAACATGATTGATTTTCTAAATCATATACATATTCACCAGTTGCTTAAAAGCAATTTGTTATTGAAGTTCAATAACATAACCAAGGGGGAACTGTCTTCTGGAGATAGAATGATAGTTTTGAGAGGCCATTAATTGCCACATTGTGCAAATGTAAATGTGCTTCCAGCATGGAAAAGGCATTGGCAATTGTGCCAAAGGGCAGGAGGTGTACTATATAAGGAAAATAAGATTCAATTGTAAAGGCCAAAGGGAATATTAAGGAAATGGCATCAACAGTATAAAAAGCATTATGCTAAGTACCTTAATGTTGTACTTCATACTGTTTCTCTCAAGTGGAATTAATAAGGGAAACAATTTAGAGCTGAAACTGATAAGTTAAAAACATGACTTTAGTGTTCAGATTTATGTAATATCCTGCATTGGCTGTTGTAAAAATTTCAAAAATCAAAACTAATTTGGAATTCTGTGTCGAGAGAAACAATGAGTTGTTTTATTTTAAGGACCCGGTATAATTTTTACCCAATTAATCACAGAATATTTGCCAAGTTTATATCTGACCTCACTAGTTTATAACTTATTATTTCATTCACTCTCCTGTCCAGCCATTGGTGAAAGGCTAAAAACTGATTGGCTAAAGGAAGGCATTTTTATCAACATAGAATGAATTAGCAATCAGTTAATTGCAAGAAATTAAGACATCCTTTCTTCCATATGAAGAGAATGTCTTAATTCTAAAATTTTGTCTACAAAATAATCAAATGTCAAATGTTAAAGCACTTTGATTATACTTAAATACATACAGAACCTACAATGTCTTTACTTTTTTACTTACACAATTCACTGTTCATTTCATGGCAAAAAATCAGAGGATACTTACGCTTGCCATCAACTTTCCTCTAAACTAAATAGACTAAATTTCATCAACTAAATATTCTCACCTTTGTGCCCTCATCTTAGCTGAGCATCTTCATTGTCTTGCTATCTTATATGTCTTTCTTTGTATATTGTTCTTACCCTGCTTTGGACTTTCAGGTGGTGTTTGCAAAGAAACACATCTCTTAGAATTCTGAGTGACTGTGATTGATATCACTCTGGTTATGGCTGGGTCTTTTGTACAGTTTCTTTTGGTAAAACAGGATTTTTCAAAGTGTTTCCTTTGTTTTCTGCCTCAGCTGACTTCTCTAGGTTGTCAGTTTGAACCAGATCTCTTTTCCTTTTTACCCACCAAAGGACCATAATAAATAGCTTGTCTTTGTTTTCTCTGTCATACTGGGCAAATGATCAAATCTTCACATCTCTGTAACAAGGAATTTGATTTTGCATGATCTAAAACAATACTCTTGATTTAGCTCTTTATCTTTCTGCTTCTTCACCTGGATTTTTCTGGAAGGACTGTCACCATTTTTCTCCCTGTCTCTTCCTTAACAATGTGTCCTCTGCTGTATTAGGGCAAACAATTAGAACTTGCATTTCAGTCATGATAGAGACCAAACCATAAGACATATTTTTCCACTGACTGCTATGTCTTCCTGCTTCTGGATTTTTCTCATAGGTGTATCTTTGTGATTTCCTCTCTCTGTGTCATTTTGTCTGAGGAATGCTTCTTTGTTTTCCCTTTGTTCTTGCTCATAGACCTTCTATCTTACTAGAAAAAAGACCATATCCTTCTATCTTTGTGAGGAAGACCTTATTTGAGCAGAGAGAACTTATAAAAGAGAATTTGATTTAGCATTGACAGTGTGCTGTTTACATACTCATGAATTTTCTACACAGACTCCTCTTCAACTGCTGTATATGGTTGCTCTTTCATTGGGTGGATTTTCTTCCAGTTAGATATCTCTAACTTTACAATTTTTTCACAACTGCTTCTAAATGATCTAGAATCCCCACTGCATTGTTCAAGATTTTACTGGGCAACTGTCAAGAGTTTTAGCTTCTGCCTCTTGATTGGCTACAGCTGTTTCATCAGACAAAGGATTGGTATGTTCTAGATTTACTCGTTTTCATTTTGGTTTGTGTGAATATTCTATATTGACCAAAGATTTTATCAGATGAAATTAATTTTGATTTTTTCCTTAGGTCGGAACATGATTTTCTCTTCATTTGTAGACAAATTTTTCTTGCAACATCTTCATTAATTCATTACCTTTCTCCATGTGTATAAACTGTCAAATTAGCCACGCCATCAGATTCCTATAGATTTTATAAAAATTTTACTTTCTTCTCTTGATATTGTAGTCCCTGGCTTTTGTTTTGTAACTCTATCTTCTGAGTTTTTCTTCTAGAAGCTCTTCACAATATTCTTTTTGATATTTTTTTGATTCTTTTCCCTTGAAGTAAGTAAGTGAGACCCTTTAGTTCTGCATCAGTTCTGGATCTGTGTCCCTACTGAAATGTAGGAAATTTCCCCAACTCAGCTTTTCTTGAAAATAAAGATCAGGACCTCCCTGGTGGCACAGGCAGCTGAGCACTGTGAAGCTGTGTGCTGTGAAGCTGTGCAGCCTCTGCAGCACAGGTTCGATCCTTGCCAGCTGGGGAGATACCCACATGGCGAAGCAGATCTCTCCTGTCTCACCTGCTGCTCCCCTTAGCAGTGTATTTCAGTCAATCTGCCTGTTCTGTTCCCCACTCTGTCTCTGGTGAATCCTCTCACCCTCCCACATATCCGGCCTGCACCCCAGTTCTTGTATGCATAAATAAATCTTTAAAAAAAAAAGAAAATTAAGCTCATATTATTATGTTCACCTTTATTTGCATATCATCTGTTTGACTAGGCAAATGTGTAGATTCTTGGGAATCTATTTTGTTTTCTAAGGTAGATCTATCCTCAGTCTTACTCTGTCTTGCATTTCTTTGGCCACATCTTCAATTTTCAGAGGCTTTCATTTTGGATTCATATTCATAAGGATTATAGAGGAGTTTCCTGAGATTCCTGGTTCATCCTGATTATGGGTCACTTAACCAAATATTTCTTCAAATCCAATAGAGTCAACATCTAAACTTAGTGTTTCCTGTTTGGATTCACCAAAAAATGTTTGCATTCCAAGAAATCTTCGACTATATTTTCTTTTTTTTTCTTCAGCTACAATAAATTTACTGATAACTCAAGATTTTCTTTTGGTGTTTTAAAAAAGTTTTATATGATCTTTAACACTTTCTTTTGATTAAAACATGTGTGTACCCTGTGTGTTTTCTAATATTTTTTTCTATTGTTTGGTTTTCTTCTGTATTTTTCACCTCTCTTATTTTAAATGTTTTGAGCCATAGATTTTCTATTTTTTTTTTTTTCTGATCTATCTGGTATATATCTCTAATATATAGGGTCCCAATAAGCAAGTTTTTGGGCTTTGGAGTTGCCATCAGTATTGGAGTGTCTGTCGGGCCTCTACAGGATGTACTTTAAGAGTTATCAGAAGACAAGTAGGATTGCCTGTAATTCACATCTCTTCTTTGGAATGGCCATGAAATTCTTGACACTGGTCAAATCTTCCACTTGGTTCCCCTTTTCTTGAGGAATTTTGTATTTGATGTCTGTAGGTCTTCTCTGGATTCTGTCTTTCCATAGAAGTTCTCAGACATTTCATGATTGTTGTCAGAAGTTCAGCTGATGCACATTTCTCCGTGGAGTTACTACCTTTTGTTTCTTTGGCTGTTGGACACAAATCCACAAAAACATCTCTGAAGCCAATGTCATGGATGTTTTGTCTAGGTTTTCTCCTATGCATGTATGGTTTCAGGTCTTCTAGCCAAGTCTTTTATCCAGTTTTGTGCAAACACACAGTGGGTTATTCCCAAAGGAACAGCCAACCTAATGAAGTGTATTTACACTGAGAAGGACTTTCCAACACACCCTATAAATGCCAAATGGAAATCCCCAGCTCAAGCAGCTAATATGCTTTGTATGCAAATGATGTGGGATTAGCTTTAGGGCAATAGAGATATTCATCCACCAAATATGTCTTTTTACCCAGGTAATGGTAAATACTGTGATTAAGGGGGCCCCTTTTCTATGGATACCCCCTATGATCTTACCATTGTAAAGCTGAACAATTGTCTGAGACTTAATCTGATATGCTCCCTCAGCTTCTTCGTATAGATCTTACAGATACCAAGAACATTAAAAGTAACAAGAAAATGAGGAGAGATGGAGTATCAATGAGCTTGCCCCAGTGGGAAGGAAATCTTTAGTTATTAAGTTATTGGATGAATAGAATGGGCATTAATGAGGTTGAAGCAAAGTTTCAATACCAGCATCCCTGAAAATTGGGAAGACCCCCTGCTGGACTTTTAATATTGAAAATCTTTCCAAAAGTCCATGTTAGTAAAATTGGAGAAATTTAAAAAGCTAGAAGGCAAAGATCATGAGAAACCCATACTGAAAATACCTGCAACTGCAGTCAGGGAGAGTAAGTAATCACAGTAAGGATAAACAAAGGGCCAGAGTGGCCTGCCTCAGTCCTTCACTGGGGACCAAAACTCTTAAGTACGTAGGTAAGTAAAAAGGTCAGAAGACAGAGATGTTTCTGGGTCATTTTAACAGGGAAGTTCTATGCACTGTCTTACTAAAATCTGCTGGTAATGTTTTTAGAACTATGAACACATTGAGAAGATATAGAAATGCAGAGTTGGTGGGAAAAAGGGGGATAATCTGCACAAAAACTGATACAACAAGGTTTATGCGAACTGGCTAGGACTCTTACCTGAATATATTATAGGAATAGACACTGTCTTACCATAAGATGATGGACTAGACTGGCTGAGAGAGACTGGATAGGAGTGTAATAGTATGACAGCATCTTTTATTTTTCAGATTATATCTATCATACTGCAATATGCTATAACAGTATTATTATTGGAAAGATTATAATACTGATAATGGTAACTGAGTACATTGGGAAATTGAGTTTATGCTTCCTATCCTTATCCACATTGACTCCTCCAAATCTGTTATACTTACTCTATTAGGTATATTTCTTTTGCTATAAAAGATCCTGTGGTCAAAGAGTAGGGGTCACCTATGATACAATAAAAAATCTATCTGGCCTAGGAGGGCTAGGGGCTGGCACAAAGCTTCCAAAATCCTTGGAATTTCCTGATAGAAGTGTTTGTTATGCTAATGAAGCATGTGTGTTGGGGGTGGTGATAGCTCCAGGGTGGGACTGATTACCCAAAAAGCCAGCCAGGTGAACAGAGGGCTAGACCTTTCAGTCACCTAAAACAAGAAGGGTTGGATATTGAGCTCAATTACGCAACTGTGATTTAACCAATCCCGCCTGCATAATGAAACCCTGATTAAAAAAACTCAGGCTGCCAAGGCTAAAAGGAGCTTCCTGGTTGTGGACATGTGAGTGTGCTGGGAGGATGGTGTCTAAAGGCCATGGAAGTTCTATGTTCCCACTTCCCCCAAATCTCTTCTTTCTCCTAGACCTTCCTCTATGCATCTCCTCCATTTGGCTATTCCTTTATAACAAAACTGTAATAGAAAGTGTTTCAGTGAGTTTGGTTACTTATTTAATGAATCATCAAACCTGAGAGTGGTGGGAATTCCCAAATTTGAACCCAAGAAAGTTAGAAATGTGGGTATGCGGGGGTTCCTACTTATGCTGGCAGCTGAAATAGAATCAATCGAGTTTAAATTAAATTCTAAGACACCTCACTGGCATCAGTGGAGTGTTATTCGAATGTAGACATATAATTTTTTACTTTTTAAATTATAGCAAAATAATATAAATTTTATACTTTAATCATTCTTTTAAAACTTTTTATTGAAATATAATATAGAAAACATATACAAATGGACTTATAAATACAACTTACAAGTAATTGCTCAATCATATTTCACAAACTGAACATATCCTGGTGGCCTGCAACAAACAGAATATTCCAACATTCCTGTTGAAAAGAATGGGACATTTTTATAAAAGAAACCTAGATATGCTAGTGAACATGGGGTTTAGAGGGTAGGCCTTTTCCCATGCATAAGTATGTAGCCATCCACTTTAATTTGCCATTTCTAAAAAATGGACTCATGGACAACTTTTTAAGGAGTATTTGTGTTAGTGTTAATAGACTCTGTGGTAATAATTTTGAGATATACTGAGTTAAGGCTAGTCATCAGGTTGATCATTTAAGGAGATATTCACAAATTCAGACTCCAGTACCTACTACCTTGAGAAGTCAGGCATTCCCAAGTAAGAAGAGGAATGAGAAAAGTATTTCTTGGCCATTCTAGATACTTTTTAAAAATTATGGCAAAATATACATTAGAAGAGTCACCATTTTAACTGTACAATTCAGTGGCATTAAATACATTCACAATGTTGTACAACTATCACAAATTCCAGAACTTGTTCAACCCAAACAGAAATTTCTATCCCCATTTTCACCTCCCTGCAGCCCTTCGTAACCACTGTTCTCTTTCTGACTCAATGAATTTGCAGACTCTAGAGCTCTCATATAAGTGGGATCATACAATATCAAACTACTGTATCCGTATTATTTCACTCAGCATATTCAAGGTTCATCCATGCTAATAGCATTACATTCCTTTTTAAGACATAATATTCTACTGCATGTATGTCCCACATTTTGTTTATCTACCCACCTGTTGATGAAGATTCTTGTCCACATTTTTTTTTTAAAGATATATTTATGCATGCAAGAGCTGGGATGCAGGCCAGAGATGCAGGGGGTGAGAGGATTCCCTAGAGACAGAGTGGGGAACAGAACAGGCAGATCTACTGAAATACACTGCTGAGGGGAGCAGCGGGAGAGGCAGGAGAAGTCTGCTGCGCCACGTGGGTCACTTCCCTGGCCAGGGATCAAACTTGTGCTACAGTGGCTGCAGAGAGCTTCATAGCACTGTATTTTAACCCCTTGTGCCACCAGGGAGGCCCCTGTCCACCTTTTTTTGTTAATGGGAATAATGATTATTATTATAAACATTGGTGTACAGGTATATGCATTGATATACACATTTTCATAAACCCATTCTCATGTAGCTTTATTGTTTAAATAAACCTTTCAGGTTATTTTTGATTTAGAGATCAAATAGGTATTAATGATAGCTTATATTTTGATGAGTCCAATGTTTTATTATCAGCATTAATATTTTTGCTAAATATTCAGAGGTAAAATAATATACACAAAGCTGTAATATAAGCAAAACTATGGGGAAGTATCAGAACTATATGGGAAGACTTAAACTAATGGACTAGAAAAATGCAAAAGATGAAATTACATCAATTATTTTGTGCTCAATCTTCTGAATGTATTAAATACATGGCAAGTACCTATATTTAAAGATTCTGCCTTTTTCCTTAGAAACAAAAACATGTTTATGAGAATTAGCTTCAAAAGATAAGGCTTCCTAAATGTGAGTATGACATTTAGTACTTCAGACCAGTATTCTTGCTGGATTGACTACTTGATGATCGCTCTCGTTCTTTAGTAATTTCCATCTCAATTTTGGCTTTGATTTTCTCCCAGTCTATTTGCAGCTGCAATAGAAGAAGAGACATCTCATATAGCATAAGACTTTTTTGTTTAATCAAAAGTAAACAAAAATAGAAAGAATAGCTTCAAAAATTAGAGAAAAAGAGAGTATGGAGAAAAAAGATAAGAAGAAAATGTTTCCCCCAAATGAAATTGCTTTTAAAATAAGGCCAAACAGAGAAAATTGCCACAATAAAAAGCAAAGACCAAAATTTAACTATAGCTATTGATAGTAGGCATTTCTTTTTTTTTTTAATAGTAGTCATTTCTAAACCCTGGGGGTTTCAGGATTCTGCAGAGATGCTGGGACAGGGAAGGGGAGAAGGAGACTGTTCTCCAAGCAAGAGGGAAAGTGGACCAGACTCTGGCCATCAGGCACATTTCAAAGGGTCAGCTCTTAACTGCTCACACACTGAGGTTTCATTACAAGTCCAGTTGGGAGGAACGATGATGGGACAGAAGTAGCCTCCCCTGAGCATATTCTACAAAAGTGGTTCATTTGCAACAGCTCTTAGAGGAATCTAAAGACATGGTGGTGAAAACCACAATGGAAACATATTAGAGGAAGTAGGGGAAAGGAAAGTGGGACACACATGAAAAGCATCCCTGAAGAAAGTCAACAATTTTCTCTGTCTGCTTCCTCTTGGTCCTTGATGCAGTGGCCCTCTCCAAGTCCAGCTGAACCTTCTCTAAGGTCACTGAACCTGGGGTTAGGAATGGACTCTGCCCCTGAGTTCTATGAACAATTTCTCTAAGAAAAAGCATTACACTTTCTTTAAAAAGTTTGGAGATCAGGCCTCTCCGGTGGCGCAGCAGTTGAGTGCTGGGTTGTGAAGCTGCCTGCAGCCTCTGCAGTGCTGGTTCAATCCCTGGCCGGTGGGCGAGGGTCCCACATGGCGCGACAGATCTCTCCTGTCTTGCCCGCTGCTCCCCTCAGCAGTGTATTTCATCAGTCTGCCTGCTCTGCTCTCCCCTCTGGCTCTGGTGAATTCTCTCACCCTCCCGCGCTTCTGACTGTACCCAGTGCTTGTATAAATAAATAAATAAATAAATAAATAAATAAATCCTTAAAAAAAAAAAGAGTCTGGAGATCACTAATTAGGAACATGTGCTTTCTATGAGGCAAGACATGGGAAAAATTTGGCCCCATATTAAACTACCTCTGATTTACCCAAACCTAAAACTCTGAGATTGAGCCAGAAATGGCTAGACTTTCACCCCTCCCCACCTCAGCAGGGAAGTTAAGGGGAGTAAGTGGTATTGAACCACACTGAACTACTGCTTCGGCTTGAGCAGATTTATCTCTTTTTTTTAAAAAAAGATTTATTTATTTATACATGAACTGGGGTACAGGCCAGAGGTGTCGAGGGTGAGAGGATTCACCAGAGACAGAGCGGGGAACAGAATAGGCAGACTGACAAAATACACTGCGGAGGGGAGCAGCAGGTGAGACAGGAGTGGTCATGCCATGTGGGACCCTCGCCAGCCAGCAGGGATAGAACCAGCGCTGCAGAGGCTGTGGGCAGCTTCACGGTGCTGTGCTCAAGCGCCTGTGCCACCAGGGGAGCCCTGAGCAGATTTATCTTAACTGAAAGATGGATTTAATCTTATCAGGACTTTAAGACTCTTATTTTGTGCTGGAAGTTGATGGAATTAAATATTTCATTCTTTTCCAGTCCAATATCATTTATCTAAGTATCTATGAAGTAATTTGTGGGTATTTTTGGTTGCTTTTTCAAAAAGGTTTTTAAGATAATTTCATGTATTTGCTAATATGTATTTTTTTTTAAAGATGACTTTAAAGTATCCTTACTCATAGAAAATGAACCTCTCTGTTAAGGTGCTCATTGAAAGGCACAGCAAATGTTAGATTATTTAAAAAACTCATTTTTCAATCAGGCCAGAACTTGATTGTTTTAAATGGCAAAATACTTGGTTCTAGGTCTAAAAAACATTTGCAAAGAGAAAGACAAAATTGATGGATGCCTTGGCCTTCTTCCAGTCTGAAATTGACTTATACATGTTTCTCAAATCAATCACAATAAAACCATATATTGACAGCACACGGAACAACTGTTTCTTTGTGGCACCAGAAGTCCATCAAGTAAATGAATGACATCTATATTAGTTACTTGTTATAGTACAAATGAGGGTGTCAGTTCATAGCTGTCCCACTGAAAATACACGTTCACTTTCGCTTTGGCATGCATCCAGTTTTAGAACAGTGCTCTGATAATTTAGTCCTTGGTAGAGAAGATTTTTAACGGTGGGTTTTAGGCAAGAATGTATTCATGACAGCTGTCAAATGACTTCCACACGGAAATACATCCTTTTCTATTACAAGGGGTGTTAATATTATTGGGCATTTTCTATTCTAGTCCCTAGTCAGTTCTTAGTCACACAGAAGCTATTTCAAAATGACGTTCCATCCTCTACCCTATCCTCTCTTCACCTTCAGCTGAAAATCAGCTTCCCACTCTACAGGGAATAGAGTGGCACCAGGGATGGATTTACTTAATTTCCTTCCTTGCACTCACAAACTGACATATATCTGCATTCATCTCACCTCTTTCCTTTCTGTCTCAGGCCAACCTCTTCACGTAAAATCCCTGGTCCCATCTTCTTCAACAACTCTAGGATACTTGCTTCAATTATCACTGACAAACTCAATTTCCTTTTCTTCACTGGTTGCTTATCATCCTTCTCTGTTCTTTCTCCCTGCAAGCTACCACCCTCATTATTCTTCCCATTCCTGAGCCTCATTCGGTCCCCAGACCATGACTGTATGACTGTGTTCCCAACATACTGCTCACTAAGACCACCATCAAGTGTTTTCTTTCCTCAGGCTACATACCTTCTCTTATGATTCAGTTACTCATTCAACAAATAGCGCTTATTGTATACATATACCAATGATTCTTTTAAGCATAAGGATTCATCAGTGAATAAAAAGTAAAAAATCAATTTTCATGGCAGTATAAACAAGGACAGATGACAGTGGACAAAACATATATATTATATATATATATATATATATATATATATATATATCTGCAGTATATCAGAAGTGGTGAGGGTTTTAAAAATAATGACGGGAAGCAATAAATGCCAGGGGTGGAGCTGTACAGGTGGGTGCTGTATGTCAAATATAGTAATCAGAGAAGGCTCCCTGAGAAGCTGGTTTGAAGAAGTGAAGAGGATGAGTGAGTGAATCCATGGAGCTATCTGGGCAAGAGCACACTGACAGCGGGAAGAAAAAAAATCCTCAAGTAGGAGCATTCCCTGGGCCTTATTGCACACTGCTCTTTGAAAAATCTCTCCTATCAGACTACACAATACTATCCCCTTGGGTTTCTGCTCTCCTTTCTAAATGTCCTTCTCAGTCTTTTTTTTTTTTTGCTTTTACTTTTTTCAATTTCCCTTCCCTAGGCAAGACTTTTTCTCTTAGCTATGAGTATCACCAGAGTTTCAACCACAGCTTTTCCATACTTTCACTAAGATAAATCAACTCACATCGCTTCAACTATGCCTAGATGGTCATGACCATGTATGTCTCCAGCTCCAAATCTTCCTTTGTCAATATCCTTCAATGACCACATTTATGTTTCCAATTGCCTACTATATGTCCACCTGGATACCCCACAGGGAATTCAAGCTTAAATAATTATGTATTTCATGTATTCAAACTTTAAAAGTTTAAAGCATGTATATTCTCATGTTCTTATCAGGATTAATGGCATCCCATCTATTGGTCCCCAGGCTAGAGTTACTGAACTCATTCTCAAATACCTTGCCTTACTTCACCACCTCCCACTCTCAGCCACAATATTCTCTTGATATTACTGTTAGGGTGTTTTTTTTTTTTTTCTTTCATTAATCTTACTCTTTTCATCTCCTGTGGGACAATTATAGTAACCACCTAACTGGGCTCCTAGTCACTACCCTTATCTCTAATTCATCTTCCACATCAGAAGTTATCTTTCAAGTCATTCTACTCATTACAAACTTCTAAGTCTTCTCATTGCCTTCATTATAAAGTCTATCAGTATGATGTTAAGATCTTTAATATCTGGTTCCAACCAACAATCCAAACACCCAGGACCTAGGACCTGGAGGAGTCACCCTATTCCTTTCCCTTGTTTCACCACCCACACATTTGTTCTTATATTCTTTGATTGACTGACTAAATCTGACATTTTGTAGACAATTCTAAATTTCCATTTACTTTTAATTGGGACTTTAAAAGGGAAAAGTGATCCTGCTACCTCCTTTCAATAGTTTCACATTAATCTTTAGATAAAGTCCATTATCTTTAATTTGCCTTATGAAACCCTCAAGTCAATCTCCCTTTGCTCTTTATTCTTTTCTACTCAGAGCCTTCCCTTTGCTTAGAACACGTCATTTCTTGCCCAAACCCCAGTCAACTTCTGCTACTCTTCCTTTACAGTTCAGCTGAAATATCATTTTCAAGTCTTACAGCATCATGTACACCACCTTCAAAGCAGTTATAATTGAAATGAACAATTAGCTATATACTAACTATTGCCTCTATTTGAATAGACACTTCATGAGCTCAGCGTCAGTGTCTGCCAAGTTTATGATTATATCCCAGTACCAAGGAGAGTACTCTGTCTGCAGGAGGTGCTTTATAAATATGCCATGAATGAAAGGTAACTAAATACCCAGCAAATGCACTATCGGTTAACAATCTCTCACATTTTTTCCTCCTGAGCTTTGTAACTCAGGACCTCACAAGATTATAAGGCCATAAAACCAGCAAGGCAGCTCCGGTTACGTAGCTTTGCCTGAAGTGGTTTGTCTGAACCACAGTACTGACTTCTCTATCAGCATCAAAATTCTCTGCTTTCTGAAATTCTGCTCATGAGGTGTTTGTTGGTTTGCCACTGTTTCTCCTTCTCCTAGCATAATGTTTTAAATGGTTCCTGGTTCTTCTACTTCACTTATTGAACAGAGTATTTATTCAGTACATGGAACATATTCCTCAAGTTGATTTTATTTACCAGACTTAGAAAGTATTTTACAAATACTCATTGAACAACATTGTAGACCAAGTATAATGACTCATGGGGTTCCAAGAAGGTAACATATCCTTTTTGAGTTCCAAGTTTCCGTACTTTAAATTAGAAATGCCCAAGTAATATTTCAGGGCTCATACATGGAATGTATATCAAGCTTTTCACTCCTATAATCTTTCACATTATGTATTGTGAGCCCCCTAACTTCACCAAATATATAAAATGAATGTTTCTTAATTATCTTTTTCTATTCAATTTTTAGTTCTGAAATAAAGGGTTTACATAATCATTATTTTGCCTAAGATAAATGGCGGGGAATTTTTAAGTCAAAGGTAATTTTCTTCTTAAGATACTGCTTTATGATTTCTAGTTAATTTCCAAATTATATTTTTAAAGAAGGAAAGTAGGAAACTAGAACATGGTGCCATAGGGAGTTAAAGTAACCTATATACTTTCAGATTCAAATGAAAATACCTTAAAAAAGCCATGTCATTCTGGTTATCCCACTTTGAACATTTCTGCTACTCATGTGATTGGAAGTATTATATTTGCTGTCGGTTGAATAAATTTGTAAGAGCGAGATAAGATTAAGTTTTTGCTATCAAAAATAAAATTTCCATGAGTATAAAAATATATTTGCTATGTCATCAAAATCACAAAATGTAAAAATACTGGAAAAACTACTGATGATGGTAATGATAATAAAGAGGAAGCAGAGTGGTAATAATCTGCTTAAAAATTGTACAATGAAGTAAAATTAAAGTGGGTACTCAATTTTAACATCACGTTTATGAAACAAAAGTATGTGACAAAAATAACCAAATGAGCAGGTGACTCTTGGAACTCCCTGGCACTGCAGTGTGTGGCTGCACATATTCCATGCATTACAGTGGGACCCCCAGAGGCTCCAGGAGCCCTGATATATTCTGGTTGTAGAGAAAGCCCTCAGAGCCCAAACTGTCAGAGGACTCATTTTAGTGACTAAACAAATTTCAAAACAAAAAAGTTTCTTGAGTTTCTATAAAATATGCCTATTTCTACCAAGAAACCAACAACTTGTATCTATTCCAGATTCAGGTGTTAAAAGTTGCATTGCAGAACACTAAGAATGGTCCAATAGGTTTCACTACCCTAAAAAACTTTTCTAAGCTTACAAAAAAAAAAAAAAACCAGATCATGAAATTCAGTATTCTAAATTTGGTGAATGGCAGGTGCTTCCTCCCTACCATACTACTTCTTTCCAAGGTTCCTCTGCCCCCTAAGATGGATCAAAACATGCCATTTAATCAACTCCATGGAAAACACTCACACAAAGTCTATAAACTCCATGAAGAGAAGCCATAACTGATTCATCACCTAGCACTCCTTTTAAATAAATGAATGAATAAAAAGCCAGGAAATCAACTGGTTCACATAGCTGGAAGCAGACTGAACCTGTCTTAGGATTTCAAGTCTCTTAGATTTGCATGGCTAGAGATGAACTCCATTTCTGGACTCTGAATTGGAAGGACCTAGGCAGGTGGCCACAATCAGTTCTGCTCTAGGCACTGTGGCAAATTTCCCAACCTCCCTTATTCTGGATCTCCTTGTAGGCTGGTATGTTCTGGAATGATTTCCTTTTAATTGGAATCATAAAACCTGAGATTCTGGTAGGAATGATAGGCAACAGTTTAGTCTACTTTAGTTCTAGGCAATGAAGTATACTAGGCTGGGCATCTCACGAGGTAGAACATAGCTTCCTAGATTTCTGCAAAGTGACAAAATACGTATTTTCTGGTCAGTACCTTCTGTGGTTATGTATTTCCCCTGAAACAGAAGAGGCACTGGTAAAAGACAAAATTCAGTTATTAGAAGCATTTATCTCAGGCATTGATATGGTTTATTTAAAAATATTAATTAGCAACCAACCTTAATACAAATTGAGAATTATTAAAACAAACTTAATGTAATAAAAATATGCTGTAAGATTCCAGAAAAAAAATTAGCAATACAATTATGTAGTCAAAATAATGCAAAAGTAATGTTTCAGAGATTATGATATGAATCATTCAAATTGTAATTCAAAAGATGATTATATTTATAAAACATACATTATTATAAAATACTGTATAATACTTACACCTTCTGCATACTGTAAATATCGTTTATTAGTTTCTTGTTTACCAAATGTCTCCAAAAACTTTTGACGGTAAGCAAGAACTGTATCAACATGTGTTTTGTATTTTACAGCCAATTCAAGTGCTCTATAATGAGAAATAAAATAGATTATAAGCATTATTTGTGTTAGCCTCCATGAACAGTAAAATTTGGGGTGAAAGAGTGGGACCAATGGCCTTATATTGTTCACTCACTATAGAGCATCACTCCCTATCTTATCTAATTTGCAAATTCCTATTTATTTTTCCAGGTCCATATCAAACATGATAACTTTTTCCTGACCAGCTAATTATCATACACCTTACTTGTGCTCTAAAACATTTTATACATTATTATTAAAGCCCTGCTAACAGCGAATCACAATTACTATTTATTAGTCTGTTTAACTAACTTGTATTCTATTGAACAGAGATCTGGGTTTCATTTCTTTTTTGTGAGTACTATAGAATGTATGGTAAATGTTTATTTAAAAATTCACTAAAGCCACAAATAAAATTCAAATGAATAAACAATATAAGTGAGTCTACCATCTTGATGATTTTTGTTAAGTCTACAGTGAATTTATTCTGCTCAATATTTAACTAAATACTTAGATCCTTGAGTTGTTAGTATAAGTTAAAAATACTGTTAAAATACTTCACTCCAGTAATAATGGCCCACATGAAAAAAAAATGGAAACAACAAATGCTGGAGATAATGTGGAGATAAAGGAACCCTCTTACACTGCTGGTGGGAATGTAAATTTGTCCAGCCACCATGGAAAGCTGTGTGGATAGGCCTCAGAACACTAACAATGGATCTACCATATAATTCAGCAATCCACTCTTAGAAATCTACCCAAAGGACACAAAAACACAAGTTGGAAAAGAAACCTGCACGCCTATGTTTATTGCAGCATTATTTACAATAGCCAAGATATGGAAAAAAACCCAATGTCCCAAAAATAGATAAATGAATCAAAAAGATGTGGTATATTTACACAATGGAATACTACTCAATGATCAAAAAGGAAATTCATGTCATTTGCTGCAACATGGATGGGGTGGGATGGGATTATGATAGCTGAAATAAGTCAGAAGGAAAAAGATAAATATCGGGTGGTCTCACTTACATATGGAATACAGAGAAACCAAACAAAAGGTCAAGAAAAAGTTAAAACTAGCAAGCTGACCATAGATCTGAGGCTTAAGAAATGGAGGAAGAAGAGGAGAGTCAAAACAGGGAAGGGACGAACACAAGAGAATATGGTGATGGTTCACGGGTGATATGGTGGCAGGAGAACTAATGGGGACTGCAACAATCTAAGAAAAAAATAAATAATAAAAAGAGGAGAGTGTGACAAACCAATAGAATAAAGGGCTTTAAGGAAGGCATAAAAAATTAAAAAATGAAAGCAATGGATTTTTCTTGGGGAAAAAATATTGTGACAATAATAATAAAGGTCTGACAAAATGCTTTTTCCATTTTGAGTCATAGAAAAAGCTAATAGCCATTAAACTTTAAAACCTAATTAATAGCTATCTATTTATATAACTAAGTTATATTTCGTATTTCATAAATAGCAGATGAGAACTAAATGAATGATGCCGAAGTCAGTGCCTCAACACTGAAGATACAAAATCTATATATTAATAATTTGGAGGGAAATTGAAAGATTAATGCTCTGTTTCAAGACTATACATAGATTTATTTATTTATTTATTTATTTTTAAGATTTATTTATTTATTTATACAAGCACTGGGTACAGTCAGAAGCGTGGGAGGATGAGAGAATTCACCAGAGGCAGAGCAGGGAGCAGAACAGGCAGAAGGACCTAAGTACACTGCTGAGGGGAGCAACGGGCGGCAGGAGAGGTCTGCGCGCCATGTGGAACCCTCCTCCGGTGGCCTGGGAGCAGCCGGGGATCGAACTGGCGCTGCAGAGGCTGTGAGCAGCTTAGCAACCCAGCGCTCAACCGCTGCGCCACCAGGGAGACCCTATACATAGATTTATACATAGATTCTGGAGGCTCCAAGACAAAGGTTCAAAATAAATGGTTGGAAGACTATCATAAGCAAATGGATCCTTAAAAAGGCAAGGAGAACCATACTTAAATCTGATAAAATGGACTTCCAGCTAAAAAAGGTAACAAAAGAAAGGGGTGGACTTTAAATAGTAATTGAGGGATCAATCATCAAGAAGACATGACTCTAATTGATATACATAAACCAATAAAGGAATATCAAACTATATAAAGCAATTATTCACAATCTAAAGAGACACTGAAAACAATACAATAGTAGTAGAGGACTTCAACACTCTACCTACATCAATGGAGAGATGATCAGATAGAAAATTAACAAGAAAACAATAGCCTTATGAAGAGTTAAACCACATGGGTCTAGTAGATAATTATAGGGCACTGCACCCTCCAAAAGCTGAGTACACATTCTTCTCAAGTACACATGGAATATTCTTGAGGATAAACCACACATTGGGTCAAAAAAACAAGGGTCAGTAAATTCACGAAGACTGAAATTACATTAAATATCTTCTCTGACCACAATGGTATCAAACTAGAAATCAACCACTAAAAGAAAGTGATAAAAATGTTTCAATATGTGGAAACTGAACAACATACTACTAAATGATTATTGGATTAACAAGGAAATCAAAGGCAAAATTTTTAAAAAGGTGGATACCAAGAAAATGAAGACACACACTATCAGAATCTACAGAACAGAGCAAAAGCAGTACCAAGAGGAAAGTAAACAGTTGTTCAGAAATAAGAAAGACCTCAAATAAATAATCTAACCTTATATCTTCAGGAACTAGAAAATGAAGAATGAACACAACCAAACCCAACAAAAGGAAGGAAGTAAGAAACATTAGAGCAGAAATAAAGGAACTAGAAATCAAAAAGACGGTCCAAAAATCAGTGAAACCAAAAGCTAGTTCTTTGAAAAAATTAAGAAAATAGACAAGCCTCTAGCTAGACTCACTAAGGAAAAAAAGGGAGAAAACTCTATTATAATAATATAAAAAAGGGAGAAACTAATATAAAAAATCAGAAACAAAAGAGAAGTTACAACAGACACCTCAGAAATACAGAGGATCATAAGAGAGTACTATGAACATCTTTACGCCCGTAATTTAAATAATCTAGGGGAAAGGAAAAAGTCTTAGAAGTATACAACCTATCGAGACAGAATCAGGAAGAAACAAAAACCTGAACTGACCATTTACAAGCAAGGAAATTGAAACAGAAATCAAAAGTCTCTCAAATATGAAAGCCCAATGAGTTCTACCAAACCTTCAAAGATGAACTAGCCTTCTCAAATTCTTGCGAAAAATTGAAGATGAGAGAATGCTTCCAAACATATTTACTCTGATACCAAAGCAGGTAAGGCAGTCAAACAAAGAAAACCAGTATCCATGATGAACACAGATACAAACATCCTCAACAAGATCTTAAAAAACTGAATTTCATATGTTAAAGGATCATAATTCATCATTTATGGGATTTATTCCAGGGATGCAAGGATGGTTCAAATCAACAAATCAAGCAATGTAATTCACCACAACAATCAAAGGAAAGAAAAAAATCATATGATTATATCACTAGATGCAAAGAAAGCATTTGATAAGATTCTGCATTCATCTGTGACAAAATTTTTCAATAAAATGGAGATAGGAGGAATACATCTCAACATAATAAAGGCCATACAGATACCAAGCCCACAGCTAACATCACAGTAAAAGGTGAGAAACAGTAAACTTTTCCTCTAAGATTAGGTCCAAGAAAAAGTGTCCATGACCATCATACTAATCAACATAATACTGGAAGTCCTAACTACAGCAATTAGGCAAGAAATATAAAAGGAATTCAAATTCGAAAAGGAGAGGTAAAACTATAATTATTTGCACAAGGCATGATAATCTCTCTCTTTTCCTACACACACACACACACACACACACACACAAAGACACACAATCATATCTCTAAATCCAAGGATCAGTATTTGCTGCCTATCACAAATGCCTCACAAAGTTTCTTCATTCTTCTGTGACTTTAAGCCTCTTGGAGAAAAAGAGGATATAGCAAAGGTAGAGGCACTGAAATACAGAACCTCAGGGTAGGTTCAAGTGAGGTATTGTGAGTGGGGACACTCTGTTGAACCACTTCTGAGGCACCTAAGATGTTCCATTTCCCATTCCTTATTTATGCGTGTCCATGACAGGGGGAGGATTTCTTGGTGCAGCAAAACTGGATGTGCTCTAGGTGGAGAGTACACAAGCATTAATTCTGGGTTTGGGGTTTTAAAACATTTCAAAAAGATACTTTGTTATGGAATATCAATACATTTAAGTATATAGAAAAGATAGAATATGTATAATTCTGCATTTAGACACGAGATACTGAGATTATCATTAAAGTTATAATATTATAAAATATGCATTAATAATCTGATTGAAAGCAATGTGTAAAGGTAACCATTCAAATGAAATGTGCTATTTTAAATGTTCTCTTAAAACACATACTGCATAAAAAATGTTTCCTTACCGCATTTAGGAGGGAATTCACTCTAAATTATATAAGGGTTATGGGAACAGTGCGTCTCTAGCTTTAAAATGGTTATTTGGCAACCAAACAAATGTGACATTAGATTATGGAGCTGGAATAAATCCATGTTTCTTCTCTGATTTTTAAATAGGAGGAAGTTATATAAAAAGATGTTATAACATCACAGTGATTTTTTTTATTTAACCGGAATGAATCAAAATCACTTTGTATAACTAGAAGTAGAGAAATTATTTTTATTAATACATAAATATTATAGTGCACGTATATGCAGTGTTTCTTTCTAGTTTCTACCTTTTTTAACTTCTGTTTGAGAACAGCTACCAACAAATTCTCAAAGTGAATGTCAAGTAGACAATTTGCTACCTATATCTTTAAGGCTGCATCTTACTAGGCTGCAGGCAATTTTCAGATTCAAGTATGAATAATAGAGCATAAACCAGCAAAAATCTGCTTCTCGGGCCTCCCCGGTGGCGCAGCGGTTGAGCGATGGGTTGCGAAGCTGCCCTTCAGCCTCTGCAGCGCAGGTTCGATCCCCAGCTGCTCCCTGGCCAACGGAGGAGGGTTCCACATGGCGCACAGACCTCTCCTGCCGCCCGCTGCTCCCCTCAGCAGTGTACTTTGGTCCTTCTGCCTGCTCTGCTCCCTGCTCTGGCTCAGGTGAATTCTCTCACCCTCCCGCGCTTCTGACTGTACCCAGTGCTTGTATAAGTAAATAAATAAATAAACAAACAAACAAACAAATAAATAAATAATAAATTATATAGCACAAATTTAAAAAAAAATCTGCTTCTCAAATGTAATAACATATATTAACAAAATAAAATCTGTTCTTTTCTAAAGGATTTAAACACATAGAAATTCAAGGTCTTAAAAGCAGCCTAATAGTTATCATCCAATATTTACACTCTCTCTTTCGAGAATTCTAGAAGGTCAGAATTAGAATATCAAATGAATAAATCTGGGTGCATCAATACCTGCTAACATCACAAAAAGATAAACAGTCACTACGAAAGTATCTGTAATACCACCGCTGATGGAGTCTTGCCAAAAGGGTAAAAAAAAACCAAAAAACTAAATCTAATGAAGTTTCACAGAGAGACACAAACCAGAGACAATGAGTAGAGGAACCTATGTCATAGAGAAGAGGAGTACTCTACTCTTAGAAAGCACTCTGTCCCCGAAGCAAACTGTAGTGGGGGAGGTTACTACTCGCCACTCCTTACTGAAAATCCAATCATCCTTCTTCCTGTCTTGGTTCTTCTCTCTGCCTGTCTGACTGACTTTACCCCAATCTTTCAGCAGATTTCTCTTCTTTCATCCATCCTATAAATATTTGATGCCTTCTCATTCCACACAATCCCCAGGCAAAAGCATCCACTCCTCTGGTTCAACTAACATCCATGTGCTGATGACTCCTAAACCTACACCTCCAAATCTTTCTCATGAGTTTCTGGTCCACTAATCAACCAATATCACATATCTCTTCACAAAGATTCCAAATCCAACAAGCCTAAAAGTAAGCTCAGTATATTCCCTTCCAAATCTGCTAATATTAGAACGACTATCTATGCAGTTACTTAAATCAGAAATTTCAGACAGCCTAGACTTTCTTTTATTCTTCACCACAACTAACCAAACACAATTCAAGAAGACATACACTTTTAACGGTAAACTACTCGCAATATAGAGGTGAATAAATACTTCAGTGGCATTAGAAAACTATTAAATATAGCAAAAAATGTAAGTTACTAAGTGGTAGATATAATACATAAAGACTAATCAGGTTTTGGAAATGATGAAATCATTTTTATTACCTTTCCCAGTTGTAGAGATCAATATTAATTTGGATTGCTTGATAAACAAGGCCAGCCTGAAGTAGTACTATTTCAGCCTCATGTATGTTCCCACTAAACATTAATATGTGGGCCATTTTAGATTCTTTAGATGGAAGATCTTTTATAGAATTGATGTACCGAACTTTATCAATCTAAAAAAAAGAGAAGAAATATAGCTGCTAGTAACAGAAATATAACAAATTATGGTTAAGAAACACACCACACACACAGATACACATAATTAAACATTATTTACTTCACCAATTGCTGCATAGGCTATTTCTGCAGTAGTCATATCTCGATTAGCAACTGCCATAGCAGCTAGGCAAGCCCACATGGTCTGCTCCTAAAGTGAAACATGAGAACAATTATCTCAGCTACATTGCTGTACTGCCTTAAAATAAACAGTGATTTAAAAAAAAAAAGAAATTATATTTTAACTAAAAAATAAAAATGATCGAGTAGGACACTTTTAAAAAATCTGATAATAAATTAAGATATTGAAATTCATATGGCTACTCTGTTAAGATTATTAATAACAGAGAACTTCATTTAAATAAGTTATTGAAACATTAATTCAAAAGGAAAGCTGTACATCTATGTCATTACAGCACTATTTAAAATAACTAAAATATGGAAACAACTTAAATGCCCCAAAACAGATAAATGGATCAAAAAGACGTGGTATATATACATAATGGAATATTACTCAGAAATCAAACAAGATAAACTCATGCCATTCACAGCAACATGGATGGAACTGGAAGGGATTATGCTCAGTTAAATAAGTCAGAAGGAAAAGGAAAAATATCAGATGGTTTCACTTATAGGAGGAACACAGGGAATCCACACAAGGGATCAGGAAAAAAAAGACAAAACTAGCAGGCAAACTATAAATTCAGTAGGGTAGGAGGGGAAGAAAGAGGTAAAAACGGGAGGGAAGAGCACAAGAGACGATGGTGACGGTTCACGGTGTCTTGGATATAGTAATTTTATGGGGACAACACCTGAGACGAGAAATTAAACATTGTAAAATAATGAACAATGATGTAAAAATATGTAAATAAAAATGGAAGAAAATAGATAAAATCATCAAAAAATAAGGTTTTGGCACATATCAAAAAAACAAGCAACAATGTTGGCAAGGATGTAGTGGGAATGCAAACTGGTCCAACCACTATGGAGAGCTGTCTGGAGGTTCCTCAGTCTACTAAAAATGGAGCAACTAAATGACTTGTCAATTCCACTCCTAGGGATCTACCCAAAGGACACAAAAACATTGATTCAAAAGAACACCTATACCCCTGTGTTTATTGCAGCACTATTTACAATAGGTAAAACCTGGAAACAACCCAAATGCCCAAAAATAGATGACTAGATCAAGAAGATGTGGCATATGTACACAATGGAATATTATTCAGCAATCAAAAAAGATAAACTCATGCCATTCGCAGCAACGTGGATGGAACTAGAAGGAATTATGCTCAGTGAAATAAGCCAGAAGGAATAAGAAAAATATCGGATGGTTTCACTTATAGCAGGAATATAGAGGAACCAAATAATACATCAGTGTAAAAAAAATAATAACAGTACAAAACACAACAAAGCAAAAATGGACAATTATAAATCAGAGACATACTGCAGGGGAGGAGGAGGGAGAGGGATCAGAGGGAAGGAGGGAGGAGCACAGGGGACTGAGGTGATGGTACACGGGTGCATTGGTGAAGGAAACTCTATGGGGACTACAACTGGAGGGTGGGGGAAGCAAATATTGTTTAAAAATGAACAGTGATGTAAAAAAAATTAAAAATATATACATTGGATATTCAACAAAATAAGGTTTTGAAAATTTTCATTTTTATTTATCAAAGATTTATTTCTAAGCTTATAATTTTTTTCTTAAAGATTTTATTTTTTATTTATACAAGAGCTGGGGTACAGGCCAGAGGCACAGGAGTGTGAGAGGATTCACCATAGACAGAGTGGGAGCAGAATAGGCAGACAGACCGAAAGCACCACTGAGGGGAACAGCGGGTGAGACAAGAGAGGTCTGCCGTGCCATGTGGGTATCTCCCCAGCCAGTAGGGCTTGAACCTACACTGCAAAGGTTGCAGACAGCTTCACAGTGCTGCGCTCAACCCACTGTGCTACCAGGGAGGCCCTAAGCTAACAACTTTTAAGATAACTTAGTTATAAACCCTATCTTTTCGATGTGATGTCAAAGAATGTAACTTACAGGGAACCAGAGGAATGGTAAGGTATTGAGACAATGCTATTACAGCAGATTGTCACAAACAACCATTGGAAGGAAAAAACATCTACAAGTTGTTTTCCCAAAGTGTATTCTAAGGGATGTCGACCAATGTAAAAAAGAGTTCAAACATGTTTGAAAAATACGGGATTCAACCAAGCTGGAAATGCTGACTGAAAGAAGTTTATTAACCTTAGCTGTACAAATAACTGAGGAACTTATAAAATATGCCCCTGTCTTATCCAGATCCAATAAATTAGAATCTCCGTGGCGGGTAGAACTTGGGAAACGTGACTTTAAAAAGCTCCACAGAAGATTTTTATCTATATTAGTATGGAAAAATTATCCATTTAAATTATACCTTCTTCAGAGAGTAAATCACATAGCAATATTTGTCCCCGGATCACACATCTTTACTTGTTAAGAAAAGACATAATTCCATCTGCAAGTTTTCCAGTCTTAGCTATTATTTCTCACCTTGCACAAAGACACTGCGTAAACTACAACACAATATATACACCGCTATGGACCTGAAATGTAAAGCACCTTGACAAAGCGACAAAGTCTCACAGCGTCTTCCCATTTTGAACTGCTCACATACTCATGGAGAATAGCAGGGTATGGTGATATGCTGATGTGAACCAGTGAGCCATCAGATCTCCTGATAGTTACTTGATTTCCAACAAAACTCACAATATGAGGATTTTTACTAAATTCACTGTGGAATAAAGCAAAGTGCAATTTATATTATGAACAAAATATTTCATAGTTTCCCAAGTTCTTTTGGAGAGTGACCCCTGATATGCAAATGAATTCTCCAACCTACAAAATGCACCCCCTAAAAAGTTAATACTGGGGAGAATGTATATATACACATAAACATCTGACTCTACATTGCTATGTAGACTTGGAGCAAAAACACAGTTTAAAAGTAGCAAAAAGTCATTAATATTTGGGAACTTTTCTCTAAAGTATTTGAAATGAACTTTTTTTCTAAATCTAAGGTATATCACACAAATAATTACATCATTTAGCATCAGCTTTTAAAAGCAGAAAAGTATAAACTTAAAAATTAAACTGAATTTCAAGATTATTTTCTCATAAACAGATGTACACTTTATTTTTTTTCACATTTTATTTAAATTTTATTTTTTATATTCCCCATACAATTACAACCCCCTTATTTTGACCCCAAGCCCTCCTTTCCCCACCCCCCAGCCCCCATAGAGTGTCTCTGGTTCATAGTTGTTTGTTGATGTTGATATTTTCTTTCTTATAGTTATTCTTTTTCCTGGTCCCTTCTTTAAGTTTTCTAGATTCCTGCTATGAGTGAGACCATCCAGTATTTTTCTTTTTCTTTCTGGCTTATTTCACTGAGCATGATCCCTTCCAGTGCCATCCATGTTGCTGCAAATTGCATGTGTTTATCTTTTTTGAATGCTGAGTAATATTCCATGGTATATATGTACCACATCTTCTTGATCCAGTCATCTATTTTTGGGCATTTGGGTTGTTTCCAAAGCTTAGCTATTGTAAACAGTGCTGCTATAAACATAGGGGTGCAGGTGCTCTTTGGAATTGATGTTTCTGTGTCCTTTGGGTAAATACCTAGGAGTGGAATTGCTGGATCATATGGAAGCTCTATGTTTAGTAGGTCAAGAAATCTCCACACAGCTCTCCATAGTGGTTGGACCAGTTTGCACTCCCACCAGCAGTGCAGGAGAGTTCCTTTTTCTCCACAACCTCACCAACATTTGTTGTTGCTAGTTTTTTTAATATGTGCCATTCTCACTGGTGTAAGATGGTATCTCATTGTAGTTTTGATTTGCATTTCCCTGATTGCAAGTGATGTTGAACATTTTTTCATTTGCCTGTTGGCCATTTGCATTTCCTCTTCAGAGAAGTTTCTTTTTAGCTCTTCTGTCCATTTTTTGACTGGATTATTTTCTTTGTTTGTGGTGAGTCTCATCAGCTCTTTGTAGATTTTTGTGATCAGTCCTTTATCATTAGTGTTGTGTGCAAAAATGTTCTCCCAGTTGGTGGGGTTTCTCTTTGTTTTTGTTATTGTCTCTTTTGCTGTGCAGAAGCTCTTTAATTTGATGTAGTCCCAGCTGTTTATCTTTGCCTTCACTATCACTGTTTTGGGTGATGTGTCTGTAAAGATGTCTTTGATGTGCATATCACGTAGTATTTCGCCTCTATTTCCTTCTATGTATTTTATGGTTTCAGGTCTTATGTCTAGTTCTTTAATCCATTTTGAGTTGATTTTTGTGTATGGTGTGAGGTAGTGGTCAAGCTTCATTCTTTTGCATGCAGCGACCCAGTTTTCCCAGCACCATTTATTGAACAAGCTTTCTTTGCTCTAATGCATATTCTTTTCTCCTTTGTCAAAGATTAGTTGACCATAAATCTGTGGGTTTATTTCTGGATTTTCTATTCGATTCCATTGGTCTGTGTGTCTGTTCTTGTTCCAATACCATGCAGTTTTGATGATTATGGCTTTGTAGTATAGTTTGAAGTCTGGGAATGTGATGCCTGCATTCCCTTCTTTTTTTTTTCAGGAGAGCTTTGGCTATTCAGGGTTTTTAGTGATTCCATATGAATTTCATCAATAATTGTTCTATTTCTTTGAAGAACGACATTGAAATTTTGATTGGAATAGCATTGAATCTGTATATTGCTTTTGGTAGGATGGCCATTTTAATAATGTTTATTCTTCCAATCCATGAGCAGGGGATGTCTTTCCATTTCTTTGTGTCTTCTTCTATTTCTTTTAACAATGTTTTATAGTTTTCTTTGTATAGGTCCTTTACCTCTTTTGTTAGATTTATTCCCAAGTATTTGATTTTTTTTTGTTTCAATAATAAAAGGGATGGTTTTTTTGATTTCTTCTTCTTCAGATTTATTGTTTGTGTATAGGAAGGCTACTGGCTTTTGCATGTTGATTTTGTATCCTGCCACTTTACTGAACTGATTGATGAGTTGAATTAGTTTTTCTGTGGAGTTTCTGGGGTTCTCTATGTATATTATCATATCATCTGCAAATAGTCATAGTTTGACTTCTTCTTTTCCTATTTGGATTCCTTGTATGTCTTTCTCTTGTCTTATTGCTCTGGCTAGGACTTCCAGTATTATATTGAAAAGCAGTGGTGACAGTGGACATCCCTGTCTTGTTCCAGATCTTAATGGAAATGCTTTCAGCTTTTCACCATTGAGAATGATACTGGCTGTTGGCTTGTCACATATGGCCTTTATGATGTTGAGGTATGTCCCTTGTTTCCCAAGAATTTCAAGGGCTTTTATCATGAATGGGTGTTGCACTTTGTCGAAAGCTTTCTCAGCATCTATTGATATTATCATATGGTTTTTATATTTCTTTTTGTTGATGTTTTGGATAACGTTGATTGATTTTCGGATGTTGAACCATCCTTGTGTCCCTGGAATGAATCCTACTTGGTTGTGGTGAAGTATCTTATGGATACATTGTTGGATTCTGATACCTAAAATTTTATTGAGGATTTTTGCATCAGTGTTCACAGATGTACACTTTAAATGAAAAGACTAACTTCTAATTAGTTTAAATATATAAAATGACACTTCTGGTTTTGCTAAGGTTATGAACTTGAAAATTGAAAATGAACTCAGATTTGAAAATTAAGCTAAGATTTGTAATTGAGAAGCATTCACAGTCCTATTTGTCATGAGTAGGAGATGCCCTATTTCTTAGAAAATTTAGAAATATGAATTTTATTTGATTTTCCAATGCATACAAAATTAAACTTTTTAGTAACCTTATAAGTATTTTTTAATCTTAACATTAATTTAGAAATTCAATTGTAGAGACACAGACATTCCTGAAAGCCTTAAGATCAGTCACAATCTGGGATGGAGTAAAGACTATCACAAGGTTGGAGACATCACTGAAAAATATTAAGTGCCTATATTAAAATCACTAAATGACATTAAAAAAAAAAAACCTGAGTTACCATTAAGTAACATTAACCTTGAAAATTATATTCATATAAGGAACAAATAATTCATATTATACAACAATCACAACTTGATGGCATCATTTAAATCTCAAGCTAGCATCAACTAAACAATGTATTTAAAGTGAGCAAGAAAGTGAAAGACTATCCTGCAGGATTGAATTTAAAGGCAAAACCAGAGCATTGTTTTATTTACCACAATAAACAGAATTCCATGCAGTAAGATATTACCTTGCATCCCTCTCATATAGTGTTTTAGGCAAAATGTCTCTGTCCACATAAACCGTGTTGGGGTAATACCACACAGTAAATCGAGTATCCTGAAGTCCACAAAGGATATTGCATGTATCGCTCCATGCCAAGGTATGCACCATTGTTCCTTTGTTTAAAAAAGCATTAAAGTCCTATTAGTTCCACTATATTAAGTATTAAAAATATATCTTTGAAATCAGCTGACATACAAGAGCCCATCTAATTTCTGACAGGTATGATATTATTTTCTGACTATATAATGGTAAAAACATAAAAAGTTTGCATATGAACTTATAGAAATATTTGAATATTCTACCTTGAGCCATTATATTTTTAATATAATGCAAATCTTTCAATGCCAGTTTAGCTGTAGCAGCTGAAGAGTAACTATTAAAATGGAGTTAAATAACTAAGAGGAAATGTTATGAGACGAACTTACTATTGATACATTCAAGGAAGCAAGATATTGAATATATGATAGAAAGGATGAACTAAGAAAATTTAAAGTTATTACAATTTAAAATGTATTAAAATTATTTTACCAAGTTTGATAATTTGTTCTTCCTTCCCAAACCGTTTTACTGAGGTGATATAGAGATCTCTATTTTTATCAATAAAAGCAATTTTTCTATCATTGGTAAGTCCTTTTTGATCCAGTGCAATTTCCAAAATTTCATTCTGTAATTTAAAAAAAATGAAAACACTGGATTAGTTTTAGTGTTTGACATCAGATCACTTAAATTATTTAATTATAAGAACATTTCTTTATTTAAAGATCAAATCTCACTCTTCTGCTTATAGTGATAAAATGTCCCTATTAAATAATTTTATTTATTTATTTATTTATACAAGCACTGGGTACAGCCAGAAGCGCAGGGAAGGTGAGAGAATTCACCAGAGCAAGAGCGGGGAGCAGAACAGGCAGAAGGACCGAAGTACATGCTGAGGGGAGTAGCGGGTGGCAGGAGAGGTCTGCTCGCCATGTGGGACCCTCCTCCGGTGGCCTGAGAGCAGCCGGGGATCAAACCAGTGCTGCAGAGGCTGCAGGCAGCTTCGCAAGCCAGCGCTCAACCACTATGCCACCGGGGAGGCCCGCCTATTAAATAATTTTAAACCCACTTTTGCTCTTGTACACACCAACTGTGTACACTTTTTTCCTATTCCTCCTGGGTCATTCTTTGTAGCAGGATATGAAAGCAGTTTCATATTTATTAGAACCTTCATCCCTGTCTCCACGCTACTTAATTTTTCTTTAAAAAGAGAGAGATTTGAGGGCCTCCTCGCTGGTGCAGAGGGTTGAGCACAGTGCTGTGAAGCTGTCCACAGCCTTTGCAGCACGGGTTCGATTCCCAGCTGGTCAGGGAGATGCCCACATGGTGCGCAGACCTCTCCTGTCTCGCCAGGTACTCCCCTCAGCAGTGCTTTTTATCTGTCTGCCTGTTCTGCTCCCCGCTCTGCCTCTGGTGAATCCTCTCACACTCCCGTGCCTCTGGCCTGTACCCCAGCTATTGTATAAATAAAAAATAAATCTTTAGGGCCTCCCCTGCTGGCACAGTGGTTGAGGGCTGGGCTGCAAAACTGCCCGCAGCCTCTGCAGTGCTGGTTCGATCCCCGGCCGCTGGCGAGGGTCCCACGTGGCGCGCAGACCTCTCCTGGTGCGCCCGCTGCTCCCCTCAGCAGTGTATTTCATCAGTCTGCCTGTTCTGTTCCCCACTCTGGCTCTGGTGAATTCTCTCACCCTCCCGCACTTCTGACTGTACCCGGTGCTTGTATAAATAAATAAATAAATAAATCTTAAAATAAAATAAAATAAAATAAATCTTTAAAAAAAGAGAGAGAGACTTAAATTCTTATTTTGGTTCCACTATTCATTTGGGTAAGTCTTGAGGTTTAGTTTCTTTGTGTATAAAACAAAGTACATTAATTTTTTTCTATTATTTTATAGAATGCTAAAATTTCTATATATATAAGATAAAGAGAGATAAATGTTCTATGAAATTGAGTGAGGTGTGATGAGGAAGTCACTGCCATTCTTACAATAATGAGGTTGGAATTTTTTGTATACTTAGGAAAAGTGTTCTGGAAAAAGAAGTATCACATTAACAGAACCATTTACTAAACTTTATTAAATGACTCTCATTTCAATCCTACTAACAAAATAATAACTGTAATTTGAAAAACTGAGAAACTTACTTCCTCTTAATATACTTGGTCCTGCTGAAAAGAAAAAAAATCTGCTTATATATTCTTGATTAAAAATGATTATAAGGACTGGTCCAAACACTATGGAGAGCTGTGTGGAGATTTCTTGACCTACTAAACATAGAGCTTCCATATGATCCAGCAATTCCACTCCTAGGTATTTACCCAGAGGACACAGAAACATCAATTCCAAAGAGCACCTGCACCCCTATGTTTATAGAAGCACTGTTTACAATAGCTAAGCTTTGGAAACAACCCAAATGCCCAAAAATAGATGACTGGATCAAGAAGATGTGGTACATATATACCATGGAATATTACTCAGCATTCAAAAAAGATAAACACATGCAATTTGCAGCAACATGGATGGCACTGGAAGGGATCATGCTCAGTGAAATAAGCCAGAAAGAAAAAGAAAAATACTGGATGGTCTCACTCATAGCAGGAATCTAGAAAACTTAAAGAAGGGACCAGGAAAAAGAATAACTATAAGAAAGAAAATATCAACATCAACAAATAACTATGAACCAGAGACACTCTATGGGGGTTAGGAGGGTGGGGAAAGGAGGGCTTGGGGTCAAAATAAGGGGGTTGTAATTGTATGGGAATATAAAAATAAAATTTAAATTAAAAAAATAAATAAATAAAATGATTATAAGGGAGAAAGTATAGGGAAACAGGCAACAAATTAGTTGTGAGAACATAAATTGATATAGTCACTTTGTAAGGTAACTTGACAATACTTACTAAAATTACAAAAGCTCTTATCCTTCCACCCAGCAACAATACTTCCAAAATTTATACCACAGATACACTAACACATTGTGTAAGAAAATATCTTGGAACTATTTTAACAGCAAAAGACTGGAAACACTTAAAGATGCCTCATTTGGGTACAGATTAAGTCAATTCTGATATATCCATAAAATGTTATACCATGGTGGGGGTGGAGAGGTTGGGGAGTCCTTATGTACTGATATGGAAGATCTCTAGAATGTGTTGTGAGAAAAGCAAGGAGCAGAGTTATATGTTACATTTTTGTAGAAGAGGAAGAGAAGAACCTATCAGTTTTGTTTACATATGCATCAAAAATCTCCTAAAGAATATATAAGATTAAGAGCAGTGATACTTTTTGGAGGAAAGAAACAAAAGTGTTGAAGAACAGGCATAGGACAGAGACTTTTTCACTATATACTTTTTTTTATACTCTTTGCTTTCTGAACCATGGGAATGTAACATTCATTTTTTTTTTTTAAGAAAATTTTTTTTTAATCTTTTTTTTTTTTTTGAAGATTTATTTATTTATTTTATACAAGCACTGGATACAGTCAGAAGCCCGCAGGAGGGTGAGAGAATTCACCAGAGCCAGAGCAGGGAGCAGAACAGGCAGAAGGACCGAAGTACACTGCTGAGGGGAGCAGGAGAGGTCTGCGCGCCATGTGGGACCCTCCTCTGGTGGCCGGGGAGCAGCTGGGGATCAAACCAGCGCTGCAGAGGCTGAAGGGCAGCTTAGCAACCCAGCGCTCAACCGCTGCGCCACCGGGGAGGACTTGTAACATTCAATTTTAAAATAATTCAAAAAGAAAACAAAATACAGAATCACACTCGACTGGCAGCATTGAATAATAAAGTTAAAAGCATCTTTAGACCTTTACATATCACTTACTAGAAGGGTAACTCAATAAATTGTCCCCTTTTGTTTATTTGATGGCTAAAAATCAGAAGCCAACAGCCACAATTCAGAATCTTTTCATACATTATAGATTTATTCTCAGTTTAAATATAGTCCTAAAATGTAAAGAAAACACTGACACTGAGAAAACTGCAAAATATTTCAATATATAAAAATACATTTTTATTTACTGAGCGTTTCGGAAAGTTTCATCAACATTTTATTGAAAAGCAGTAAAGAGTATGGACAATAGACATGTAAGTCACACCCTTTAGCTAATTAATTTGCATATACATCTTTCTATTTTGATGTTTACTAGTGCTTAGTCTTTAACTGTGACATTTCTAGGCAAAATGCTTTCATTAAGTGAAAACATTAATTTTTATATGAAATTAGGTAGGGACAGTTTACATTAGAAATAACTAATGTCCAATACCTTATGAGAAAGAAGTTTTCCATCACCTAATGGTTTTCCAGTTGATGCCTCAAAGAGGAAGATTACTTGGTGGGAAAAAAAAAGAAAACATTAGTGTATTAGTACATTCAGTAGAATTAGCATAATTCTCATGAGAAATTTAATTCTCTGGACCTCTGTCAGCACAGAATTATCAAAGGCTTTAAAAAATATGGGAAGATAAAAAAAAGAAAAATATGCTTCAGATGTAAAGAATTATAAAAAATTTTAAAGTAAGGTATATTCAGCTAGGAACATAAACTTTATTAAACCCATTTAAAATATATGGTGGTAAGAAAAGTATAGGCAATTCATAATAATCATTGGGATTTTCAAGCTCACTGAAGACAAAAATCTGACTTCCAAATTATTATTACTAGCAATTACTCAGTCATCTTAAATCTGTTTATCTAGATAATATTTTATTTCACTCTCTTTTCCTTTTTTCAGCCAGATAGATCTTTTATAAACAAATGTCCTCTCTCAGAGAAGGTCTAAGGCATGAAAGATAGAAGAGCTCTATTTAGGAAAACTGTGTTTACTATGAATATGAGAAACCATGCTATCTGAAAATACTGGAAACTCAAAAGGTAGACAGTTTCCTAGCTCCTGAACTAGATCTTCCATGGCATACACTAACACAATTAAAGTCAGGGAAGGATTTTTTTCGGTAACATGTCACAGTAATGGGCAATGTTTTTAGCACTATATATTATCAGAGAAAAACAAGTATTTAATATGTTTCCACTGGAGTTTAAGGATAACTCACCTTATGTCACTGACTCCTCCTCCTCTTACCCACCTCTAAATTATAATGCTCAATCTTTGGTACTCTGTCTTTATCACTTCCTGGGTGATTTCAGTGTCATGGCTCCATCTGTACCCTCCATAACTCCCACATTTATATTTCTAGTCCTCAACTCTCTTCTGACCCCTAGACTTGAGGTCAGAAAATAAAATCCTATTTTATTCCCTCCCCACCACTGCTTGGATGTCTAAGCATTTAAACTTATCATGACCAAAACAGAACTCTTGGCTTGTGGAGCTCTCATTGCCTCATAGCCACATGGCCAAAAGCTCGCATGATCTGATTCCTGCTTCTCTCTCTCTCTGTCCTCCACTCTCACTACTTTCTGCCCAGTTCATGTTGACCTGGTCCCAGGGCCCTTTGGCAGTTCCTTTTATAGGCTGCTCATCCTACCACAGAACCCATGTACTTGCTTGTCATGTGGTCATTCTCCTGTCCCCCTCCATTCTCCTGTTCCCCCTCCATTCTCCTGTCCCCCTCCATTCTCCTGTCCCCCTCCATTATCCTGTCCCCCCTCCATTCTCCCATACCCCCTCCATTCTCTATTCCCTCACTCTACCTTATTTTCTTCACAGCTGACTATTACATATTTGCTTGTTTATTCATCTGTCCTGGTGACTATTACATCCTCAACTGTTAGAAAAGTACTAGGCATATATAAGTATTAAGTTTAACTGTTAAGTATAATATTTTTTGGTTAAATGAATTTTGATATAGCAATGCATTCATAAAATGGTATCACTCTATTATGGAATTCCAAAACACCTGACATACTTATATTTACATATATTAATTTGGTCTAGGATTTCATGTGAAATTTAAAATTATACATAATATTCTCCTAATCATTAATTTAAAATAGCATTTAAGGGCCTCCCCTGGTGGCGCAGGCAGCTAAGCGCAGCACTGTGAAGCTGTCCGCAGCTTCTGCAGTGCCAGTTCGATCCCGGCCAGCCTGCGAGGGTCCCACATGGCACGACAGACCTTTCCTCTCTCGCCCACTGCTCCCCTCAGCAGTGTATTTCATCAGTCTGCCTGTTCTGTTCCCCGCTCTGTCTCTGGTGAATCCTCTCACCCTCCCGCACATCTGGCCTGTACCCTGGTTCTTGTATAAATAAATAAATAAATAAATAAATCTTTTTAAAAAATAGCATTTAAAACAAATATGTGGAAAATAAACAGTACAATGATGCACAATATTCACTATATTACCAAATGAAGAAAAAGGGAATATTTTATGAATAAACTTAGATTCATAAATTTAAAAATTAATGTGCATTTTCAAGTCTCACAAACTTGATTTTGAACTCTACCAACAGTAACCAAATATATCAAGATACCCCCTTACCACATAGCTTTGATATTATGACAATATCTATTCGTTCCATCAATTGGATAGAATGTGCCAACTATAGTTCTTCAATTAATTCATGCTTACAACAAATTAGGAAGCTCATAATTCTTTCAAATGGGAAAAGGAAAATTAATTCATAAAAAATTTTGCAGCGTTGGACCTCCCTGGTGGTGCAAGGGGTTAAGTCTCAGCACTATGAAGCTACCTGCAGCCACTGCAGCAAGAGTTAGATCCCCGGCTAGGGAGCTAATCCACGTGGTACTGCAGACCTCTCCTGTCTTACTCGCTGTTCCCCTCAGCAGTGTGTTTCAGTCAATCTGCCTGTTCTGCTCCCCACTCTGTCTGGTGAATCCTCTCACACTCCCCGCACCTCTGGCCTACACCCAGCTCTTGTATCCATAAATAAATAAATCTTTAAAAAAAATTTAGTGTAAAATTTCATACAAATTTGACATAGAAAATTATAAAAATGTACTTACTTTTTTCATCGGCTTTATCTTTTATTGCTATGGTATCATTACTCAGAGACACAGTTTGTGCATTCAAAATATCTGTTCTCATTCCAGGAAACTTTGGAGAAGAAATGAAACGCCCTTCATAAGAATATAAATAGATACCACTACCATCTACAAGAAGAAAATGTCTGAAAAATAAAGAGCAAAAATATATTTGCAAATGAGACTTCAATATATTCTCCCTTTTATTTAGAGAATAGCTTTTCCTCTAGAAAAACATAGCTTACAACTAAAATAATAAAATACATACATATAAAGAATGAAATAAAAAAACAACCTAGCATTGCTTGTTTTGCTAATTGCTTTTTTTAATGGAAGTAGGAGAAGAAACATGAAAGTGCCCATAATCATGATTCAATATAATAAAATTCTGACTCCTTTTACCTTATGCTTGTCATTTACTTTCTTTCCTAGAGAAGCATGTCTCTATAAAAAGGCAATAAGAAACTCTTACCATTTACAATTTGGTGACATTAGTGCCAGATGTTATTTATTTCCTAGATAATGCTAATATATATTTCACAATTAAAGGTTACATTAAAGATGAAGTTAAATGCTGATTAAAGTTCAAAAAGTATAAATGACTCAAAAAACTAACCTCATGGTCAGCATTTATTAAAATAAGATGTTTTGACTTTAAAATAATATGATCATCAAATGTACTCATATATAAAACCACATTTTCATATCAGAAATTCACTTGTGTTACGACTCCACAAAAACAGAAAAACAATCCAGTCAAGAAATGGGCAGAAGAACTTAAAAGACATTTCTCCAAAGAGGAAATGCAAATGGCCAACAGGCATATGAAAAAATGTTCAACATCCCTTATAATCAGGGAAATGCAAATTAAAACCACATTGAGATACACCTTATACCAGTAAGAATGGCACATATCAAAAAAACAAGCAACAAATGTTGGCAAGGATGTGGTGAAAAAGGAACTCTCCTGCATTGCTGGTGGGAGTGCAAACTGGTCCAACCACTATGGAGAGCTGTCTGGAGGTTCCTCAATCTACTAAAAATGGAGTGACTATAGGACCTGTCAATTCCACTCCTAGGGATCTACCCAAAGGACACAGAAACATTGATTCAAAAGAACACCTGTACCCCTATGTTTATTGCAGCACTATTTACAATAGGTAAAACCTGGAAACAACCCAAATGCCCAAAAATAGATGACTAGATCAAGAAGATGTGGCATGTGTACACAATGGAGTATTATTCAACAATCAAAAAAGATAAACTCATGCCATTCGCAGCAACGTGGATGGAACTAGAAGGAATTATGCTCAGTGAAATAAGCCAGAAGGAATAAGAAAAATATCGGATGGTTTCACTTACAGCAGGAATATAGAGGAACCAAATAAGACATCAGTGTAAAAAAATAGTAACAGTACAAAACACAACAAGCAAAACTGGACAATTATAAATCAGAGACATCCTGCACAGGAGGAGGAGGGAGAAACACAAGGGACTGATGGTGCATGGGTGCATTGGTGAAGGAAACTCTATGGGGACTACACCTGAGGGGATGGAGGGGGAAGCAAATATTGTTTAAAAATGAACAGTGATGTAAAAAATAAAAATAAATTAATTTAAAAAATAAAAAATAGGGCCTCCCCTGGTGGTGCAGCGGTTGAGTGCTGGGCTGCGAAGCTGCCCGCAGCCTCTGCAGCGTCCGTTCAATCCCCGGCCGCTGGTGAGGGTCCCATGGCGCAACAGACCTCTCCTGCCATACCCGCTGCTCCCCTCAGCAGTGTATTTCATCAAGTCTGCCTGTTCTGTTCCCCACTCTGGCTCTGGTGAATTCTCTCACCCTCCCGCGCTTCTGACTGTACCCAGGGCTTATATAAATAAATAAATAAATAAATCTTAAAAAAAAATAAAAAATAAAAAAATAGAAAAAAAAGGAAATTCACTTGTGTTAACAGATATATTTTAAAGCAAAGTGTTCTGTTTTTTATTAAATCAAAATATAAATATTTTATGGGTTTTTTTTCCTTTGAACATTTATGAACTTGAAAAAACAATCCAAACAGAAGAAATAGCAAAAACTCTCTTGCAATCCTATATCCACAGAGACAACTCATGGCAGACAAGGTATGGATATACTATAATTTAACTTAATTAACTCACTCCTGATGGACATTTCATTTCAAATTATCCATCCTTCAAAGATATGTCTAAAGTATATATGTATCTCTGTGTGTCTACCTTCATTATATCCTTAGTATAACTTCTGAATGGCAATTATTGAATGAAAGGGCATATATTTTTTAAATTTTTATATTAAACTCACCTTTGAAATGTCATATTGATTTACACTCACACAATTGCTACATTGGAGTGCCTGTTTCTTCAGTGCTAAACACTTTATTAGTTTTTAAAATCTATGCTGAATGTCTTAATATCCTTGATTCAGAATTACTTCTTGAATCAGGAATTGCTAGTTGTTCCTTCTTACTATGGAAACAAACACCAAAACTAGTGAAATGTCAGTATATAATAAGTACCATTATTCCTTAATAACACACGTAGCTCATTTAACTGAAGGGTTCGGCACACACACATTAGTGTATAAGAACATTATTTGCTAATTTTAATAAGGTGACATTATTTCATCTCAGTATTAAAACTATTCTCTCTTCTAAACAAAACAAAATAGCTTTTAACCTCCTTTAAGCAAATACCATGTTTCAAGGGACAAATATTTCTAAATGAACAAATCGGACCAGCAACAGGTAGTAAGTAAAATATCCTTTAAATACCTAATCATGTATGCAATTAACGTATAGTCAATAAATACATTTATAAACAATGTATAAAAACATTTATTGGAATGATTAATGTAAAAAGAATTTCAATAGTACAATTTTTAGATCGCTTATATCTTACCCTTTAAGCAGCAACAGTGTCCTTTTGTTTTAAAAAGATGTGATATAAGTAAATAAATCATGTATCAATTTCAATATTAGATAATACAAAGTTTGTATAATATAAAATAACAATTATTTTCTTTATTATTCAAGGTCATCAATATGTTAACTATATACTTTTATAGCTATTTAACTGATAGTGAGTGGCTTTGATACTCATGCAAATCTGTTGGTACCTCGGAATAATTATGCTCAACTACACACACAGTTCTGCACTTCTACTTTTCGCTAAGATTCCTTGCCAGTCAGTCACTTTTCTTCCTGTCATTGTGCCAGCCTCTAACAGTCTACCAGCACCCTTCCTTTTCTGGTCTGCTATTTATAAAAGGTTGTGGGCTAGAAAACCTGATAACACAATCAAGAGCTGCTTAGGTGGTGAGTAAAGGGATGAGGAATAAAACACATGGTTTTGGTGGAAAGATTTTATGAGCAACTATTTTAGGTAACTGTTGCTTATACAGTCTCATACTTTATTCCAGGTTTTATTAGGTTGGAGCTTTGATAGATTGTTTCATGGAAAGTGTGGGTAATAGCTATTCCAATTTTTATTCTAGTTTATCAGTTGGGAGTTTTGTGGTCCTTTATACACCGAAGGTCATAGACTAGCAGTGGCTCAGAAAATCATTGAGCATAAACCAACATTTAACAGAATAAAAAAGCAGAATAGAATACAACAGATATGGTTTTTGACCATGATATCAAAACAATTTCATAGTAATTTGCTTATTTCACACTCATTCTCATATCATTGCTCTGATGTTTACTTGTAATACATTTATTCTCATCATCTTAAATTAGTACCTCTTAAAATTTCTCAAAAACTTGAATATAGTAAATACTTATAAATATACAATCTATATATAATATTTATTTTAACAATGTAAAGAAATTCTGAGGCCAAAAACTTTCAGAACCACTCATCTGAGAGCTTATTCTCTTCCCTTTTTTCTTTCAAAATAATAGTAGAAATAGATTGATTCCAAATGACTAATGTACGACTGAGTAAACAGCATGCTTTAAAGAGTACTTTCTAACAATTTGAGATATTTTAACCCCAAATTCAGTAGTCAAAAGTGATAAATTACCTTTCTGCCTGCAGAATTAAACTAACAGTTCCTTCTTTGAGATCAAATATAAGTGGTGTATTCCAGTTCTTCGTACTAAAACAGAAATAAAATGGATATGTATCAATATTTGAAATACCAAATACTTTAAAATAAATAAATAGGTACTCATTTTAAATAAAGTATACCATTTCTCAGCAACTTTGTATATATTTCTATTATGGCACTTGGTATATTATTTTGAACCTATTCACTTGTATGTCTGGATCCCTCATTAGGAAGCAGACACTGTGTTCCAGCACCTGGCACACCAGCATTCAATTTTTAATATAGGTATCACAGTATGTAAATCAAGGAGTCCTAAGTGTAAGTCCAAGGTCTATCACTGATTAGCTCTTCCATTTGGACAATCTAATATTTCTTACCTGAAAAATTGTAGCAGCATGCCATAGTGAAAAAAGGATAGATTTCTGTCTGGTTAGACAGATGAGGATTAGAAATCTGGCTTTATGTCCTTAAGCTTAACCTTCTTAGTCTCAGTTTTCTGATTTGTAAAATGGAAATAGTGGTGACTTACCAAAGTATCTACCTAACTGCCTATCCATAGAAGACATTGAAAATACAGAAACTTTAACAATAACATGATGAACATGACTATTTCCCCTACAAGTCTCCTAATATTATTGTTGGGCTGAATGAAAAGATTTCTGCAAAGCATTCTGTAAACTATAAAATGCTATATACATGTAAGCTATGACCATGCTTGCTGAATAGATGGATTAATAAATGAACAAATAACTCTTTTAGTTTTTGTAGTGTAATATAATTCAAACAAAGGGATGAGAAGAGAGCACTGATAAACTGAAAACTCATCCCTAAATAATCAGTTTTTTCACAGTTTAAAATGTTTTATTACTCCTATATATTTTGAATCTCTCTCAGTTACTTTCATAGAACCAATTCTTCAAGTCTGATTAAATCTCATGTTCAGATTCAGAAGACAGAAGAGGGGAAGAGAGCAGTAAGCTCGGCACAACAGTGGAAAACTAATCTTGGCTAATACAGTCTGATACTCATTTCAGTAAGTAAATGCATGCATAAAACATAACTCCAAATAAGGCGTTACTAATAATTAGAACACTGGGTTGATATGTATGATGAAGATATATGCTTTGGTATTTTATAAAAAATATCACAGGCAGCTTCATTTATGCAGTCATGAGAATTAACCTTCACTCTTTGTCTAGAGAGTTGATAAGAACAGTGATTATGAGATTTTTTTTAATGACTCCTTAATTATACATGCCATGGTAATATAAAATCCCTTAACTATAATGTTTAATAGAACAAGAATATTTTCTAAAGTATTATCGGAAAAAACAAGTGAAAATTTAACATAGACTTGCTTATATATTATTTCCTTTTTTGGGAACTTATTTTCATATAAAAGTGTATACTGCTTCATGTTTGTTTTTAAAATTATATTTATATTACTTAAAAAGAGGCAGCATTATTGATCCCAACTTTTGCTTTAGTAAAGAAGTGATTTAGACTTGAAGCTAATTACTAGTTGGCCTCTGGGTTCTTCAGTATCTTCATCTTGTAAAATGGGAATAACAACAGCACCAACACACAGGGGTAAAACAGATCATTAGCATAAAAACTGCATAATAGTGCTCAATAAATAACTGTTGCTAGTCAAAATACTAGTAGGTTATTAAAATTAATGAAATATGTTTTGGGGCTTGCTGGTGGTGCAAGGGGTTAAGCATCAACATTATGAAGCAATGTGCAACTACTGCAGCATGAGTTCCATCCCCTGCCAGGGAAGTGACCCACATGGCACAGCAGACCTCTCATCTCGCTCGCTGCTCCCCTCAGCAGTATATTTCAGTAGATCTGCCTGTTCTGCTCCCCACTCTATCTCTGGTGAATCCTCTCACCCCCCTGGCCTACAACCCAGCTCCTGTATGACTAAATAAATAAATCTTTAAAAATATATATATATGTTCTGATGACAGTTCTCATTACTATCTCATTCCCACAACTGCTCACTGGTATTTCATTCACATTAATAAATATTTTATACCTTTGTAAATGTCTTGACAAGAAGAGAGGGAAGGGTAAGGTTACATCAGAAATAAGCAATCATATTTTGGAACAGATTAGTGAGTGTGAGAAAAGAGTGATAGAATAATTTAAAGTTGTTAAACTTATGGTAAATATTTAAAAAAGCAATCTCTTCAATACAAGTAACACCTAAAGATACTAATCCTTCAGATTCAAGCATTGTGTCACAATAATAGACTATAATAGGCAATGGCTCATTTAAGGCAGTTAAGAGCTCTACCTTTCTTCAAGCAAACAAATAAACCCTAAATTGAAGAAATCTTCTCTTTTTTCCTAACTCCAGGAAAATTATTCAAACATTCATGTGTACTAACTGTGAGATTTCTCACATTCTATAATAAATATTCTAACCATATCATTTCCAGGACTTCATTCAATTATCTCCACGCTCTTGAGATAATTTACATTGTAATTTGTTATGGTAGAAGTATTTAAATCATAAAATCAGCAAACGCTGAAAATTAAGTTTGTTTCTCAAAAGCCAGTTGTTCAACATTTGTCAGCACACATTGAATTGCCCTTTAAAAATTCCATGTTTTTAAGGTTTTAGGTGCAAGTTTCTTGGATGTGTTGGCTTATTCCCTGCTTTCCAATATAAGGTATACTGAGTATATTTTCTTTCACCACTTCTGGACAGCCCTGGGTTACCCACATGAACACCTATGATTCCCCTGGGCTATAGGATGCAGGCTGTGTCCTTACTGAATAGCTTTCCACCTGTTGTCAGGTAGTTGGCTTAGTGGTGCTCCTTATTTTTTTTTTTAGCGCTAATTCCAACTTTTTAAAAAAGATTTATTTATTCATGCATACAAGAACTGGGGTACAGGCCAGAGGTGCAGGGGGTGAAAGGATTCACCAGAGACAGAGTGGGGAACAGAACAGGCAGACTGAAATACACTGCTGAGAGGAGCAGGGGGCAAGTCAGGAGAGGTCTGCTGTTCCATGTGGGTTTCTCTCTGGCCGGCCAGGGATTGAACTCATGCTGCAAAGGCTGTGGACAGCTTCACAGTGTGGTGCTTAACCCCTTGCGCCACCAGGAGGCCCAGTGGTGCTCCCTTTTCCATCATTTATCAGTCACTTCTAATCTTCTCTGGCTTTGAAATCAAATTATATTAAATTCCTTAGAAAACTGTGAGCATAACATATTAACAGTAAACACCAGACAAGGTATTTTCTATTATATAAATGATTATTAACCTTTGATGCATAAACTTATTAGATCTATTTTCACTGTCATATCAGCTTTTTGTCACTTCTTGGTTGGGAGTAAATTGAGTACAGGTGAGGTTTTGGAGAAAGCTTAAACCAAAATACATTGATGTGAAAGCTTGAAAATAAATTTCTCATCACACACAAAAATCTTGATTTTTAAGAAATGCAAGATGCTTACGAGAACACATAACATTGAAGAGATGTTGAAACAACTAAATGTGCATAGTTCAAAGATGCTTTAATGACTCTATCACGGAATTCCAGCAAGTCCACTGCATCGTTAAGAACATTACGAACCTAAACAAGGAAAAATTAAATACCAACAAATTAATATACATCAAACTTTTAATTATATTAGCAAGATTTTGAAAAAATTCAATGCACTCTTGATTACCTTGATTACATGTAAAAAGAATTAAATAGGAAGAAACTAGGCATAGGCTGGCATATTTGGACATAAAAATCAACCAACAGAATTACAGATACAGAAAACTTATAAATAAGTAAAAAAAATGTATAGACATCTCTAATCTGCGAGTCAAGCTGAATGATGCAGCAATGGAATAATATAAGGTGAAAAATGCTATAAAACTGAGATACAATCAAAGGAGTGTGGCATAGAAGTTGGAAAGAGACAATATGATTATAAAAACTATAAAGCCCATAAAATTCATAGACTATATGATTTCTGCCCCAAATGGTTGATGGGAAAGACTTTTCTAGAAGAATTCTAGCTATTCAAAGAAGAAGGGATGATAGAATTACAAGATAACCATTTTGCAGCCCCCAAAGAAACCTAAGTCTAGACAAGTACTATCAATGGCTGTTAAAAACATTAAAGAAAAAGCCTAATGAGTAAGCATACGATAGATGAGTGAGGCTGATAGCACCTGAATACACTGATCAATCTTATCAAAGAGAGATACGCGGGCAAGATATCATAGGAAGTGCACAGAATCACCTAGGAAGTATTCTTTATACTTATCAAGGCTCTCAATCTAATAACCTACAAGAAATATATGGGCCAGATGAACATGTTCAAGGTAATCATACCATAGGATATAAATAGAAAAGGGGGGGAATTCAACAAAACAAATGACCTGGTTTTTTAAACAAGAAAGAGGAAGAATTGTTTCATACTATGTAAGACTGAAGGGACATATTAACTAAGTGCAACATGGGGCTTTTCTGTTACAAAAGAACCAATTATAAAAATGTATTCTTAGAAAATAATTAGAGAAATGTGACATTTCTGTAGAAATGTGTTACATTTCTGTAAAATGTGTAGAAAAACATTTAAGAGACAGAGAAAAGTGAAATGTTACTATGGTTATCTTAAAATGAAAATAGTTCTTATCTTTTAGGCATTTTTAAAAAGTCTTAATTTAAAGAGTGAAGCATGACTAGTGGTAAAGAAAAAGAACAGATAAGTTTGCTTAACTCTTCCATGGGCGGGAAATGACAGCAGACATGGAGCAGTCTGACAGCAGGTGCCTTAAAGGAGTTGGAGTTTTTAGGGAAGAGAAGCTACAGGTGTCTGAATTCAGCAAAGAGGGGTAAGGAAGACACCTACCTGACCTCCAGACCCAGAGAGACTGGGCCTAAAGGAAAACAACTCTGCTTGAGCAGGCTGTAGGAGAAAAGGATCTCAGGAAGCAGCTAGGTTTTAATTAGAACAAAAAATGCAAAGAGTAATTTCAGTGAAAAGACTGGTTGTGCACTGGGACAGGTGATACCACTGTGGGTTGTGCACTGCTACAGGTTGTGTAGGGGGCAGGTTGTAGGCCAGTGCAGGTTGTGCCCTGTGCAACTCTAGGTCTAAGCGAGTGGGCCCTTGGAACTGAGCAGGCCTGGGTCTAGGTGGTAACCCTGTTTCTTTTTTCACAAAGGGTTGAAGAGAGCAACCCCACCAAGCCCCACGGGCTGATCTCACAGAGACCCAGCTCAGCCACTTGTCTCGCTTCACATCCTTTCAGCTCTGTGAGTCAGCGGTGGCCACGGTGCTCACTGCCTTTGCTACTTGCTTCTGGACAGGGAGTCAAGCAGATCAGAGGCTTGACTCCACACTCTACATTTTTGTTCCATTTCTGTTTCACTGAAATGTTTGTCTTGATTTTGAGTCCAGGTAAGTCTTTTTTTTTTTTTTTTTTTTTGAAAAAGTGTATTTCATATATTATTGATCTCTTTGGAGACAAAAGTATGTCTCTTCCTTCCAAGTATGAAGTTTTTACACCATCTTCACCAGAAGTCTGAGCTGCCAGAAGTTTTTTAAAAGGTCCAAAATGCTGTCCTCTCCTAGGAATATTGTAAAGCTAATGGAATGTTATAAAGAGTTTTTAAAGAAAATTTTATGACAGTTTCTTTACAGCATCATGACACCCAGAGAAACAAGCTATTAAAATAAGCATAGGAAATTTTAATATTTCAAACTGTGATTGTATTGGCCTCCGTCTGCCATTATTCAAATTATAGGCAGATTTCATTAAATTCATATTTGCTTAAAGTTTGATATGGAGAAAGTCTCCATTTTTTGGAATCTAGAACCCTAGAGCCAAACAGAAATAAAACATCCCAGCCATAATAACAAAACCAACACACTGATAATTGCTGCTATCATTTTCATATCAGAAATCTCCTGTGCAGAATTTTAATGCATCCATTGCCCAGTTAAACTCAAGACAGCACCAGGATTAACCTCTTGATCCTGACTGATCCTCAATCCTGATCTTGATCTTGATTAACCTTAGTTGTATCTTCTGACACTTCTACATGACTACAATATTTAAGCTCCCCAGACTGATATAAGTCCAAAAAGTCTGTTTCCACATTTCCAAAACTCATTTAAGCCTATTCATAGATATAACCACAGGAGCAGTTACTAGTTATTTTGTATTACATACATCATCTCACTTAATCTTCAAATTCACTCTACTATTAACTCTTACCCATACAGGATATAGTAACTTAAGAATCAAGTAATCTTCACTTTCTGCAACTACCAAAAGTCACAGCTGTGCCCCATGCAGGAAAGAGGCAGGAGTGAGCTTTAGAGCTGGGAAATACTGTCTCCTCCCTTTCGCCCTCTCCCTTCTGCCCTCTCCCTTCTAAACACTTCCTTCTCACAAAGACTTTACTCATCCTGTTGGAAAGAATTATCCATTGAGACCCAGCCGTGATGGGTTAATGGTTGCTGGGGCTGGGTGATGAGTACATAGAGAGTTTATTATACCAATCTATGTACTTTTGTGTATGTTTTAAATTCTCCATAATTAAGAGTTTACATTGTTAAAATAAGAACAAATAAAAATTATAATATACTTAATCATTATGAATCTGGCAACCACATCATCCACATTTTAGAATCTGGATACTTAGGCTAAAGAATATTTGAATACACCTGTCCAAGAAATCACAAGATATATGCTTCCAAATTTTTATAATAATTAATAATAATCTGAAATGCAGATACTGAAGATAAAGGCAAGTGGCACAATCAGGAGGAAGAAGAAGACAGTACCTTTTTCTTTGGCAGAGGGTATGCCTTGTCCCTGACTTCCTCCTCCTACCTTTCAGGAATTAACTTTTGAAACATTTGTTGAGTGCTTTCTATATGCTTATTATACACAAGCCACTGGGCTAGACACTATAGGGCAGATACAAGGTAAGTGAAACGTAGCCCTGGGCCCTGAAGAAGCTTCCCACTGATGTTTTCCCCTGACTTTCTATTGCTACTTTCCAACCTTTCTGTCTTAGTCAACAAAGTATTTCACTCCAAGATCACTTGTTTTCCTTCTCTCTCCCATTGTCCCACTTTGGCTTGCCTTAGGGAACCCTTAAAGGGAAAGCTAAAAAAAGAATTAGATTACATAAACATATAATTATAAATAAATAAAATAACATAACCATAGTGACTCGCAGATTAGGGCTGTCTTGGAGTCAGCTCTGGGAGTTCAATCTACTTGTCATACATACCTTCTTAATGCCTTCTTCAATTGAATCTATTCGCTAAATGCCTCGAATTTCACTATCTCCTCTCAACCCCATAACTGCAGTAGCTGTGGACACTTGGGTGCTATTATTGGTGAAAGAGTCTTATTTAAAATCATGAAAAAGTCACTCAATGGTATAATTAGAAGATTTCATTGTGACTAAGTTTTTATAGCACATGATTTAAATATAATTAATGAAGACAATTCTACATTCTGTGTAGTGAACTAACATAAGAAGAATCAGCCATGGAACATAGCATACCTGCATGGTCCTTCTTTTAGTTAACGTTACTTGAAAGTTTTTCCACTCCCAATGCTGCTCCACCACGTGTGCAAAAACAACTTGTCCATTTCCACAGGCACCAGCAATCTGGGTGCCATCGATTGACCATGCAATATTAAATATGCTGCCCGTGTTGGGCTTTTCTAAAGCATATGACCACTAAGGAAGAAAGAAAGAAGAACTGATATATTAAAATCATTTTTGGTAGTCAGTCATAACTCTCTCCCATTTGTAAAAGGCTAGTGTGGATGTTGTTAAACTTCTAGATGGCTTTTTCTCTTAACAATCTACCTCATGCTTGTTTGATTACTGGCCACCCTTGAAGATCCCAGAGAGGAATGGAATGATTTCCTTTGTGACCTGACAATGTGACAGCCAAGAGACCTAGCCTATGGTTAGAGCTTTGTTTCCTCAAGATGGCTTCAAGAGGAAGATTAAGTACTTCTGAACATGTTGGCAAGCAAGGTGAGCATTTTTACCACTTCAGATTCCTCATCTCTGTCCTTCTGCAGAAATCTGATGGAAACCAAGTGGCGAGAATGCCTTTTATTTCACTAGCTAAATTTAAGATGGGTAAGAGAAAAAAGTATTTGAGTAAAAAAATTCATTGTTATTGAAATTTTGTGCTTTCAAGGATTTTGTCCTTTAATATAGGTTGCTCACTCCAAAAAGGTAATAGTTTTTCTCTCTTCTCTATTTGTCTTTTATGCCTTTGTTTTCAAGCCTCACTGCTTGAGTAGGGCAGAGCTGGCTGAATAATGTAGGACTTATCCTTCCCAAACCTGTTGAAAAGTGAGATTTGGATATTTGTGGGTGACTCCTTGGCTTTAATAATTTGCAACTGTCAAATAAAACCAAAAAATGTTCTTGTTTAGTATCACAAACTCAATTTTAACCATATCTGATGTATTTCAATAAATATAATGTTCAAATCAGTCCAATTTTAACCAACTGTATCCTCTTCAAGGTAGTTTAGTCTTTTTGACAGATTCTTGCAGTCTTGATCACTTTCCTTGTTTTCTAGTATGATAAAATGCTCCAAATTCAGGCCTAATTTCCTGACCCACAACTGGAATCAGTCTTTTCTTCAATGAGCTCATTTTATGAAATGCAGAAAATGGCATTTAGAGAATATTCACAAATGCTAGGGGTGTCACTGTTGATCATTACTTCTACTTTCCTAAGTTGATCATTACTTTTCTAAGCCTTTTTAGTGGACAGAACTAGGAAATTTTTTCATGAACTCAAATTGATACTTTTGATCCAAATCCTGGCACTATAAGATCGTCACCAATACTCTCAGTATCTCCTTTCAGCTAGCCAAAAATATTTATTCTTAAGAACACAAATCTACTCAGAATAATATTAACAACACAAACAAATGATTACAAGAAAGTTTTAACTTTTTTATTTCTTTGCCCTTAAGCTTCTTTCATTAAAAAAAATAACTTTTACCGAGATACAATCCATATATTATAAAATCCATCTTTTAAAAGTATAGACTTTAGTGGTTTTTTGGTATAGTCAGAGATGTGCAACTATCACCATTATCTGATTTCAAACATTTTTATCACCACAAAAAGAAACCCATACCCATTAGCAGTCACTCCCATTCTCCTTGACCCCAGATTCTGGCAACCACTAATCTACTTTCATTTTCTATTCTGGCCATTTCATATAAATGGAATAATACATTATGGGCCTCCCCTGGTGGCGCAGGTGGTTGAGCGCTGCGCTGTGAAGCTGTCCGCAGCCTCTGCAGCGCCAGTTCGAACCTGGCCAGCCAGCGAGTGTCCCATATGGCTTGGCAGACCTCTCCTGTCTTGCCCGCTGCTCCCCTCAGCAGTGTATTTCGTCACTCTGCCTGTTCTGTTCCCCGCTATGTCTCTGGTGAATCCTCTCACCCTCCCGTGCGTCTGGCCTATACCCCAGTTCTTGTATAAAATAAATAATTTTTTTTAAAAAATGGAATAATACATTATATGGCCTTTTGTAGCTGGATTTTTCATTTAATATAATGTTTTCATGGTTCATGGATGTATCAGTACTTTTTTTATTGCCAAATAATATTCATTGCACATATATAACATTTTGTTTCTTCATCATTTTATGGACTTTTTTGTTTGTTTTTAGAGTTTTGACTATTTTATGAACATTTGTATATAGATTTTTGCATGATCTTTTATTTTCATTTCTCTGGGATACATACCCAGGCAAAAGTGGAATTGCTGGGTCTATGGCAACTCTGTCTCACATTTTGAGAAACTACTAAACTACTTTCCCAAGTGGCAGAACTATTTGGTATTGATTCTGCAGTGTGAGTGCAAGAAGCAGGCAATAAAATCACTTAAAGTCATCTGGAATAGCTCCTCATTCACTAGTTATACAAACAACTAAAAACACAATTAGGTTCATTCGCTTCACTTCTTTTAAACTGAGAAATAATTGACATACAACACTATATGAATTTCAGGTATATAACAATGATTTGATAGTGGTGAATATATATTTATATACACACACACATATAGAGAAATGATCAAAATAAGTCTTAATATCCATCACCATACATAATCTTAGATTTTTTCCCCCTTGCGGTAAGAATGTTTAAGATCTACTTTTTTTTTTTTTTTAAAGCAACTTTCAAGTATACTATACTGCCTCTGGCAACCACCACTCTATTCTTTTCTTCTGTGTGCTTTAATTCTTAAAAAGACTCCATATATGGGACCTCCCTGGTGATGCAAGGGGTTAAGTATGGCACTGTGAAGCAATCCGCAGCCTCTGCAGCATGAGTTCGATTCCCGGCTGGCCAGGGAGAAACCCACATGGTGAGGCAGACCTCTCCTGTATTGCCCGCTGCTCCCCTCAGCAGTGTATTTCAGTCAGTATGCCTGTTCCCCACTCAGTCTCTGATGGATCCTATCACCTCCCACATCTCTGGCCTGTACCCCAGCTTTTGTATGCATAAATAAATAAATCTTTTTTAAAAAAAGACTCCATATATACAGAGATTATACAGCATTTGTCTTTTCTCTGTTTTGACCTATTTCATTTAGCATAATGTCCTAAGAAGCCCCTCCCCCCGTTGTTACAAATGACAGGATTCTGTTTTTACAACTGAATAGTATAATCCATTATGTGTGTGTAGTATATGTACACACACACACACTTTCTTTACCCATCCATCCACTAATGGATACCTGGGTTGGTTGTTTTCATGTTTTGGCTACTGTAAGTAATGCTGCAATGAACATGGAGGTGCATAGAACTTTTCAGGTCAGTGTTTTTGTTTCCTTTGGATAAATACCCAGAAGTAGAATTGTTGGATTATATGGTAGCTGCACTTTTTATTTGTGGAACCTCCATACTGTTTTTGATAGTTGTTGCATTAATTTAGATATGCACCAACAATGAACATGATTCCCTCTCCTTCATATCCTAACATTTATTATTTCATTTATTTTTGAGTTTTAGGAATTGTTTTCAAAAAAATCAATTTTGCTTTACATTTACACCAAAATAAACAAACCACACACACACATATAGTCAAATAAGTCTAATTTTTAACACCATTCTCAGCTCCATTCTCTCCTTCTCTTATAGAAAATTATTTTTTATTGTCTTACCATTATCTCTTTCTTCAATAAGTGTGTATAGAACCCAGAATTTACCTTAAAAAGGGGGTAGGAGTAGTGATACAAAAATGTCTAACAACATGTCATACCTTATCTAGTGTAGCATATGGGTATACTATGTCCCCTTGTACTCACTTAAAATTGGATCCTATAGAAATTCCCTTATATTTTTCAGCTGCCATTCCCACATTCTGGTATTTGTTTCAGTTTGGGGTATTTATTGGTGACTTGGGGGTTCTTTTTATGTGGTCTCAGAAGCCTGGTTGTCTTTCCTCTACTTCCTCACACAAATGCTGATACCATGTGTACTTCTCAATGGTAGCTGGGAAAACGACTTGTATTTGGGGGGTCTTTCGGGATATAGTGTCACTTAGTTTTGTTTGTTACTGTCAGTAGATTTTGTGTTATGGTCTCTTATTTTCTATCTATAGAGAGATTTGAGAACACTCAAAAATTATGCCACTATACATACCCAACAACAAGGGTAAATCTCAGATATACAGTTGAATAAGCCTCCATCTTTAATGCCAGCAACAGCAAGCTGAATTGCTTTTATTTTGAATCTGTCTTACTCCTCCATCCTCTAACCCAGCTGGGAAAGATTCTCTGCTTTTAAGGACTCACATGATTAGACTGGGCCAACCTGGACAATCCAGGATAGCCTAACCATCTGGAAGACTATACCTTAATGGCATCTGCAAAGTCCCTTTTGCCACTTAAAGTATATTTACAGGTTCCGGAGATTAAAACATGACATGCAAATAAACACATGAAACAATATCTTCACCACTTTTTAAAAGTAGTTTGTGGTTGGGCTTTGAAAAGGTTTATTCATAATTAAAAAGAAATGAAACAATAATTTGACCATGTTGCCAAGCAGTAGCAGGATCTTGGTCTTGTTTATGTTATACTGAAATACCAAGTATATCCGAAAGAAAACATTTTAAAATTACTTGTTCAGAAAGAAAAAAAAAACCAAAATGGGTTTATGAAATCAAATAAAATATGCATGTGGATTGTACAAAAGACATTTAGATTATGGTAAGAAAAAAAAGAAGAAAGCTATCATTTTGAGGAACATTTCCTGACAGTATGAAAAATTAGACTATGAGATAGAATCTTCCTCAGAAAATATATGGACATCTTAGAATACTTAGGGGGAAATCCTTAAGGAACAATTTTAAATTGCTCAAATCCATAGGCCTTAGTAGATGATTCTGTAAATAGTAAACTAGATATGGCTTATTGGTCCAGAGAAATCTATAGGATGCTTAAAAAGGGTGAGCAAAAGAAACACTTTAAAGAAAACGAAATAAAAGGGAAAATATCTTAAATCAAAATAAAGGATTTAAGTATATTTACATTTCTGGCAATAACAAATCAGAACATGTGAATGTTGGACTTTGGTGGTTCATGAGGTATTTACGAACAGAAGACACTCAGAGGTATTTTTGAAGAGGAAACTGTGCCACTTCTCCCCAAATGGAGGTGGGGAACAGTGACACACGGTGTATTAGGAATCACACTTGGACTGGTCCGCGTGCAAGGGGAGAATTTTCATGATTTTAGCATACCCCCATCTAGTGAACATTTTGTTAAACAAAACTTTTGTGCTTCTGAACGTAGAAAATTAAATTTAGATTTTTAAGAACCAAAATCAGAAAGAAATCAGCAAATTCAAATTTGCACTCCTTGATAAAAAAAAAAAGTCTTTGATGATTAAAAAAAGGGTTTTTTTGTGTTTTCAAGTTGGTCAACCACAGAGAAGAAGTTTACGTTAACCAAGTTTAGTCTCATCCAAAATAAGTACAGATATATCTGAAATTTTACCATCATCTATTCTTTAATCTCTTACAACAACTACAACTTTTGCCATTAAATAACGATAGCTGACCTAGAGACTTCCCTGGAGGTATCTAAATTTAGTACTAATATTCTTATCTTAATCTGGCTGCCTTCTTGAATATAGGAGATGTACACTTGAGAGCTAGTCCCTTTCCAGCATGCAAACCCTGGGGAAGAAGACAGTAAGTTCCCTGGAATAGAAAAAAGGACAGGGACATGCAGATAGAAACAGAGGCAAAAGACAGAGAGAACAATCTCTGTTTTTCTTAGCACCATACTTTCCTGATTTTTGAGGCCCAAGTCCATCCTTACCCTGGTTTTTGGAAGCTTTCTCTTTTACTTTATAGCCAATTATTATTATTATTATTATTATTATTATTATTATTTGCTTAATGGTTTCTGCTACTTGCATTCAATTATAATAAAATGTAGGGTAAATCTGAAGTTATAGGATCAGTCACACTTCTCCAGCACTGCTTGAGTTTTTCCCACTTCTGACACATCCCTTGCAGTTCTGCCGCTTCCCATACAACAATCTTATATTAAAAACAAAACAAAACAAATTAACAACATACTACACTTCTCATGAGAGGAAGCAAGCATTATGCTTAGTTCGCATGGGAAAGGTATTGTAGAAGTGTGGACTTGAGAGAGATGATCAAACAACCCAGCCCATTTATTTTGATGATGAGGAAACCTAAGGCCCAGAAGAGACTTTAACTTTGTAATTCGCCACTGGAGCCTTGACCCCAGAGCTCTACAGCATGCTAACTACTCCTACAAAAAGTAAAATAAAATCAGCTTTATTGTAGACAGGACTATACAAAGCACAAATGAGTATGCATCTATAAAATGTTGCCCTATTAAAAGATACCATATTTCATAAGTTTTTTTCTGCATCCTGTCAAATTGTTCAGGCAGGAAGATTATTTTCTGACAGAAATAAGAGATATTTTAACTAAAAAAAGTGACCTTACTATAGAAAATTTTAAAGGTACTTCCTAAATGCAACCCTCACCATTCTCTTCAACTATTTCTATATAAATATAGATTATAATGATGCTCTAAAGTCTATCTCTTTAGCCAAGTTGGGTGAATTCCATTCACAAATTAAGTTTAGGGGGAAGCAAACAGATGCAAAATTTCTTATATTTCTTTTAGGCACACTGATTTTTAAGATCAATATTCTCTCTCACATAACAGGAATTATAGACTCTCTTAATTGTATATGTTGACACATATAACGGACAATGAAAAGTTAAGTGTAGCAGCAGTAAGATCAGTAAGACCGATGATGAATCAATGCAATGATTTTAATTGAATGGAAGAATAAATTAACTGAAGGAAATCTTTATTATAAAGACAACTGAATATTCAAGAACAGAGAAAATCAGAATGGCAAGAATTCTCTCACACACTAGCGCCACCTGCTGATGAACAAAAGCAACGTCAGTTAAAAGCGTAGCCTCACATGATCAGATCTAATTCCTAAATATTAAGTGTAATACAATGCAACTCACGAAAATATTTTGCTTATTCATTATAACAATTGTTAATTTGGAAGCTTTTGCTTTACACTGTTAACTCATACATATCTTTAAAATCAAAGGTCAGAGCCTCCCCGGTGGCGCAGTGGTTGAGCGCTGGGTTGCGAAGCTGGTTCAATGCCTGGCCACTGAGCGAGGGGCCCACATGGCCCGCAGACCTCTCCTGCCTGCTCTGCTCTGCCTCTGGTGAATTCTCTCGCCCTCCTGCACTTTTGACTGTACCCAGTGCTTATATAAATAAAATAAATAAAATCTTTAAAAAATAAAATAGAATAAAATCAAAGGTAAGAGTAAAATTTATTATGGAATGTAGGGGGAAATTACAGTACTTGTGTTTTTAATTTTTATTCTTTAATTTACTTGTACCATAATTTATTTTACTAACACTCAATAATGTACACTTAGTTTGTGTCAGATATTCACTGAACACCTCACCTAAAATAATGTTATCTCCCTCACCCGTTTACTTATTTTATAGCATTTGTTACCACTTAACACATTACAATAATTTTATTGTTTTATGGTCTTTCATCTGATTGGAATTAAAACTCATAAGAGTAGGTATTTTGTTACCTGTATCAATTCCAAATTCATGCATTGCTCACTTTAGTGGACTGTGGTTCAAGTGCCAATTCCATTTTCAAAGCCGTGCAACTATTTTCCAAAAATGGCTATCTGCCTATTTTTGATTACTCGCTAGTCTTCAAGTAATTTTTGCATTTTGTCTAGATGTTTAGAGTCTCACTGAGCTCTTACCAACTATCTAGGGAGTGTACAAACTATCTAGGGAGTCAATGAAGTCAACCATCCCCTTAAGGGATAGGAAGAACAGAGAGAAGATGAGTGGCAATATTAGTAAGCAGTGTTCAACCTAATGTGAGCTCGGCTACAAATTAGGAAGATGGGAGGGGAGAGATGGCATGGAACTGATGACAGTATGTTTCCAAGTTTCTAAAGTTAGCTGTGGGCCTCCCCGGTGGCGCAGCGGTTGAGCACTGGGTTGCGAAGCTGCCCGCGGCCTCTGCAGCGCCGGTTCGATCCCCGGCTGCTCCCCGGCCACCAGAGGAGGGTCCCACATGGCGCGCAGACCTCTCCTGCCGCCCGCTGCTCCCCTCAGCAGTGTACTTCGGTCCTTCTGCCTGCTCTGCTCCCCGCTCTGGCTCTGGTGAATTCTCTCACCCTCCCGTGCTTCTGACTGTACCCAGTGCATGTATAAACAAAACAAACAAACAAATAAATAAATAAAACATGCCTCTATTAATAAAAAAAAAAAAATTAAAGTTAGCTGAGGACTTTATGTAATGGAATACAAATAGCCAGAAAAATTAATAGATCATTTATAAGGTTCTAAAAATTTTAAGTTAATTGTCTCATTTTCCACTGAGGAAAATAAGCAACAGTAGAATTATGAGAGTTCCTCATAGTTATGGATAGTATAAAATAGTCCCACTCAAACTCTTTTTGCCATATAATGTTGATGCTTCTGGAAGATGTTGATGAAACAAACAACTCATTCCTTAGATTGAACTTGTTTGCTTTTGTATGAAGGAAAGCGTCTCATACATACTTAAACATGAATTCTTTAGTTTAAAAATGACCACTTTAAAATTTAGTATCAATTCCTTACCTAAAATATGCAAACAAAGTTTTTGATTGAAAAATATTGAGTTTTTAAAAAGTTTAAAACAGTTTAGTTTTAAAAACTTTTTATTATTATTTATATGTATTTTTTTTTTTTTTGCATCATTCTTCCTTTTTGTACAATGTATGCTTTCTCCTTTTAGGTGTAGTCCATATAAAATTCCGACCACCAATTTACCCATGAACCATCACCATAGTCCCTTGTGTAAAACTAAACTTCTTATATTGATTGGGAATAAATTTTAATACATTATTACTTCACCATCTTTCAAATCATGTGTAAGTATTTCCAGGAAGACAAATAGTAAAGATCATGCTCATTCTTCAAACTTAAAAGAGGTGTATGGTCCCCCAAATTTGGAATTGATTGAAACAAGATATGAAGAAAAGTAAGAAAGATGGCAAACACATTCATTGAAAATGTTTTTAAAGATTAAGAACTGGGTGTGATGTGCATTACCACTTGTATGACAACACATCTGTGACTGCTCACCACCAGAACTTACCCCAGTCTTATCACACAAGCGTAAAGTATGAAAGGATCCAACAGCAAATAGTTCTCCATCTGGAGCCCAGGCAACTGAGGTAATAGGATGCTCATGAGGTTGTGAATTGTACAGAGGGCGCCCATAACTATCCCAAACCTACAAAAGCAAATTTTTTAAAATATTTTAACAGTCACCACATTATTGCAAACAAGCCTGTCCTCCAATAAGATACATAGTAAGGAATTAGAATCATCACTGTATACTATTAGCAATGAAATATCTTTATTATCACATAAGATGGAAAAAAGCTGTATTTTTTTGTCTTAATTTTTTTTTATTATGCATACACACACACAGAGTTACTTCACGCACAATAATTGTTTCTTTCAAACAATCAGACCAAGTTGTTCTATTGTCAATCTTCCTCAAAAAGATTCAGGTAAAATTGCCTATTTGTGTATTTCATGTATTATCAAAACTTGAAACTTTATTACTGATTTCAGTTTTAAGGCCAGCCACAATTCAAAATATTCATGAACTATGTAAAAGTGATAAGAGTGAGCTGAAAGAAACCACAGAACACAGAACAAAAAACTGTATTTGTTTGCATCAGAGCCACAATGGGAATAGCAAATGTGCACATCTCATAACTCTTTCATTGCACTGGTATAGGCTTCTGAACATCTAGGGTGAATGCACAGGTGGGTGGGCAGGCACCATGTGACCTGTTGGGTACTTCACCAAAGGCTCATTTCTTCTCCACCTCACTTTTTTGGATTCTTGTTTCAATCTGTGATCAACCAGGACAGCCTAGACTGCGTCATCAGCCAACATGGAGCAGTAGTATCACAGAGAAAACAGAGTTCCTTGGCGATAGCTGTGCTTTAGTGATTAAGGCTTCCTCCACTGCCTCCCTTTTCACCCATTCGGTGGCTAATGAGCTGGAGGCAATTGCAGAACCAGCCAAATGTTTTAACGCTGGCATCCACAATCTTCCCCTTTCATCCACTTGAATCTGTAATTTCATCACATCACTACATGCTACACTGAGCCCTCACCAATCCAGTTCCAACATTTTTAGATGTCATGTCAAGGCAATCCATATTTCTAGTATTTTCATAATGATCAATAATGTTCTGAGACAGAGGTGAGCAGGAGCTGATAATTCTGAGCCAGCAGGTACAGGCAGGCCCTGGAGCAGCAGGTCCAAAGCCTTCACCTCAGATGGTGCTGTCTATCAGTGGCCCTATAGCCAGCATACCCAAAATCTGCATTAGTTGAAACCTAAATATCTTCAAAAAATTGTTATAGATATGATATACTGATAATTTTCAAATTTTACTAAATTTGAGTAATAATAGAACCTACACATTACACATTTTAATTCCTTTTAAATTTAATAATAAAAATCTGAGACATAGTTTTTTGCATAAATTTTTATGCCCAATAAGTACTACATTTGCCTAAAAGTATTTATTTCAATTGAATTTCCTCTAACTATATTCTTCCCCACAAAATATTTTGTCTAAGTTGATCAATGTTTAGTGAACCTGTAAGACTGACTTTTTAAAGCTTAAGTGAATTGATTTAAATTGAGTCACTAAAACTAGTAATCATATTTATATTTCTACGCATTAAATCAAATTCTATAGGTGTATTAGGCCAATGAGGAAGTCAACACTTTAAAAAAATACCACTTCTATGATACAATAACAATTTGTTACATTATTAAAAGTCAAAATATATGGCTAAAGTGAAGGACTAAAGATCATCTTACATGTTAAATACTTTTCATCTAAATTGTATTCTTTTAACCAGATGATAAACTCAAACATTACATACCTTATATTTACAATCTTCCCCAGCAGATAAAATAAGATCATTGACTGAGTTCCAATCTACTTTTAAAATAATGCCATCGTGAGCTTTCCACTACGAGAAAAAGATATTAATTATGTCTTTAAGAGCATTAAAAATTTTTTTCTATAAGACATTTTGCCTCTTTCTGAAGATCCTCTTTTCCTCTCCTTGGAGACTGCTATCTTACTTTCATAGCTTTTATGCATTATCTCATTTTTAATATCTAATTTATACTCATGAAAATATCTACAGTATAATATCTAGCACATAGCTTAAATCCTTATAAGTTACCTCAGTTGCCTGAATTTTAGATGGAATTATCACTTGCTACTGAATTATTCTCCAAGCTTGACATGGAAGTGAACATGTTATTAGTCAAATACAAATCTTGTTCTCCTTTACATGGGCGCTCCCATTACTGACACTGCTTTCATTTTCATTTACTATTTTTTTTATGTATATATTTACTACATGAATGTCTTTTTTAGCACTCTCTTCATTCTCTTCTGCAAATTCTCCCAAGCTTCATTCTTCATGTCTCTGGAGTAGTTACTAAACTACTCTGAGACTCTTCAGCTTCATTTAACCATATAACAAAATGGTGTTTTCCACACATTCACAAATTCCCTTTGTACACAGAATGCATATCCCACCCAGACACTGGCAATCAGGATGTAAGCATGGATGTCTCTTGTTCTTAAATATGATTCATGTGTCCATTTAGCTATTTTCATACAAGTAATTAAAGTTATTTCACAATGTTTAAGCAAAAAAATAAAACTGGAAAAGAATTTTCCTTGAAGATGATAAGATATATTTTAATGTCTGAGCCAATTAACTTCATATTATACCAATTCCCCTCCCCCCCATTGCTGTGTCCCCTTGTCCCTTTCCCTCCCCCTCCTTTTTCATCTCGGAGCCCTCAGGTTGTTTAGGGACATCCAATAGTTTTGGAAAGTGTTTTATGTTGTTGAATTGTCTGCTATGTAAATGTGAAATACATTTTCTTCATTGTTTCTGACTTACTTTGCTGCACATAAATTGAAACAGTGACCAATTTCAAGGGCTCTCTTTATAGACTCTTGCCAACCTATTACACTTAGTATTCACAAAATAAAATATTAAATTAGCATCAAATAAGCTCAAAGAAGGAACAATAATTCAGAGCTTGATTTATTCAAGGTATATAAAAATATACTCAAAAACAAATGCTTTGATAATGCTTATTTAAAAGCAATAAATTGTCACAATTTACTATCAAGTTAATCCAGTGTCCTGAAATAAACTGTTAGAACAAACGTTATAAATATATAGGTATATACAGAATCATACAAAGAGAGATTCTCAAGAGTTTCATTTTAAAACTACAAAATTAATATTTGCATATTCAAAAGTTATGAACAAAATGTGATTTAAATTTTCTTTACACTATAACGTAGGGCATCAACATACACATTACTTATATTTATAAATTATAGGTAATGCATAGACAGGTTTTAATTATTTCTCAATGTATTAGACATTTTGTAAAATTCCTTTGAATAAGAAGTTCCTTGAAGGCAGAAACTGTGTTTGGTTCGACTTTGAATTATCTCACACCTAGCATAGTGCCTGCTATATAGTTAAGTGTGCACAACATTTGCACTGTATGAATAAACAGAGTGTCCTACTACAAAATTAAATTCTGGGTCTTCAGAAGGGTCCCTATAGTTCTTAAAGTAAATGAGGTGTACTTCTGAACTATGTTCTACAAGCAAGAATTAATTAAGCATTCCTCTTTTGTGGAAAATCCAAATTTGCATGTGTTTATACCCCTGGAGAACTGCTGCAGTTTCAGTTTTCTAAGAATAGAAAATTTGCACTAAATTACTAATTATATTTTAACTCCTCTCCTACACTACCTAAATGTTGGCAATAAATACTCTTTTTGTTTTCTCTACTACCTCCTGGCCCAAAAGTCCCGCTGAAGTACTGAACTATAATTTATTAATAGTGATATAAGCATATTACTGAGTTTCATTTATATAAGCCTAATTATAGGTACCTAAATAAATCACATTAAGTATAAACGAAAAGATTCATCTAGCCTTTCTTGCATAATTTCACAGCAGATTTTCAAACTTTAAGTGTTATGGAAGGACTTTGATAAAAGGCAGAGAGAACTAGTACTCAGCTTTTTCCCTTTGCCCAAACTTTTTACTCTAGTTGCCTAAGAGCAAGGGCTTGTATCTTCTGTGTTTGTCCTACAGTTCTTAGCCAAGTGTTCTACACACAGTAAATGCATGTCAACTATGTGAAATATATAAAGCATAATCTATATAAAAGTTACTAATATGGAACCTCAAAATTATTTCTGTCTCTTTACTCTCCCAATCTATATCTACTCAATTATTATACGTGCCATAGTCTGCCAATCTACAGCATCAAGTCCTTATTCAGGACCTAATCAATCTGCATCATTTTTCTGTCCTCTCTGGTTCTAACTTACTAGGAACTAACTTGTAGGTAGAGATGACAAAATAACTCACAATAACAACTACTACTCTATACTGAGTACTTACTGAATGTGTGCTCTTAATATGATATGCATTGCCCTATGCCCTTTGCAATTTAACTTATTCAGTCTTCTATGATACAATGATACATCACAAATCAGGGGCCTCCCTGGTGATCGAGGGGTTAAATTTCATCGCTATCACCACTATGGCCTGAGTTCAAGCCCTAGCCAGGGAGCTGACCCACATGGAGCAGCTGGACCTCTCCTGTCTTGCCCACTGCTCCCCTTTTATCAGTGTTATTTCAGTAAATTTGCCTGTTATGTTCCCCACTCTGTCTCTTCCCCCATTCCGCACCTCTGGCCTACACCCCAGTTCTTCTATGCAAAAATCTTTCAAAAACCACAAATAAGAGAAAGCTATAGCACAGAGAAATTTCCTATTTCACAGGTCACATACAGGTGAGGAAGCATTTGAACTCAACCTGACTAACTTCAAAGTTTATTTTCTTACATCCACACTACATGGTATCATTATTAAATTATGGAGAAAATTATTTAATAATTTTAAACATTACAATGACTCCCCCTCTACTCTAAAAATTCTAAAAGAGTGATAAAATCTTTGAGAAAATCCAAGAGTATTCAACACATGATGGTGATAAGAAGATGATAGTTATGGTGATTAAAAAATAAAAGGCTAAACAAGCTCTTAAAGTTTTATAATTGAGTCCTGCTTTGTCTCAAATATATGCATTTGAAGCTGACTGTGAAATTTAAAGATGCTTACTGTGCCAAATGATGTGACAATTTAGCAACTCAAAACACATTTACAATGTACTTGTCTAATGGAGTTGGTATAAGGGGAAAGTGAACCTTGTTAGAAATATAACTAGACATTCTCTGTTCTATAATAAAGGCTGATAAAACCACACACTTAAAAGCTTCAGACTGTAAAAAGACCACCTAGAAGAAAGGGACTTCTAAGAAAGTGACCTCTCACTTAACAGTTCCCAGATTCTGATAACAATTTGCAAAGGCCTAAGAAGTAAGTACCTGTAAAACTTTAGCATTTGGTTGAAGAGGTTTAATGATCAGCTGCTTCCCTGCAGTATAAAGAACTTTTTCTGAATCAGGGCCCCAAGCTACTGAATACACTGGTGCTCCTGTAAAAAGAAAAGAAAAAAAACCTAAGAAACTTTGTTACAAAAAGGGAGATTGCTAAGAGGATCAAAAAAGCAAGATGGGTTATTTCATTTCTTCCATACCAATGGTCTTTTCAAATTACATTATAACCTGATACTGAAATTCAGATTTAGTCAATATTGATATTGAAAATCTATTGTGTGAAACTAACAAATTATATTTTTAACTAATCTTCTCCTTGTTGAGAAAATATGTGGTTTTTAGGAATTCAAGATAGTGTGTTCTTAAAATATATAAAATAAAATATACTTCATTACTTTAAGATATAAAAATGCACCCAAAAAGTCATGATTTATCATTTCCTCTCAAGAGACAGTGTTTAAACTTGACTTAAATTTTCCATACAAACTACCATGAGATACCATCTCACACCAGTGAGAATGGCACATATTAAAAAAACTAGCAACAACAAATGTTGGCGAGGATGTGGAGAAAAAGGAACTCTTGTGCACTGTTGGTGGGAGTGCAAACTGGTCCAACCACTATGGAGAGCTGTGTGGAGATTTCTGGACCTACTAAACATAGAGCTTCCATATGATCCAGCAATTCCACTCCTAGGTATTTACCCAAAGGACACAGAAACATCAATTCCAAAGAGCACCTGCACTCCTATGTTTATAGCAGCACTGTTTACAATAGCTAAGCTTTGGAAACAACCCAAATGCCCAAAAATAGATGACTGGATCAAGAAGATGTGGTACATATATACCATGGAATATTACTCAGCATTCAAAAAAGATAAACACATGCAATTTGCAGCAACATGGATGGCGCTGGAAGGGATCATGCTCAGCGAAATAAGCCAGAAAGAAAAAGAAAAATACCGGATGGTCTCACTCATAGCAGGAATCTAGAAAACTTAAGTAAGGGACCAGGAAAATGAATATAAGAAAGTGAAAATCAAAATCAACAAAAAACTATGAACCAGAGACACTTTTTGGGGGTGGGGGGCGGGAGGGGAAGGATTGGGGTCAGAATGGGGCGTTTGCAATTGTATGGGGGAATATAAAAATAAAATTTAATATTTAAAAAAAAAATAAAATAAAATAAACCAAAATATCAACCAATGTTTGTATTGGAATTACATCCAGAGTTAGTTGTTTAAAATGTATGAGCATACTACTGCATATGTCCATAGTATTAACATTAGAGTTGCCTATGAGAAGTACAGAATTATGACTTGCTATATACCTATGTTTCTGCATTTTCCCAGTTTTCTATAATGAACATCATTATTTTTATAGTGTAAGTTGTTTTTAAAGGGCTTGCTATAATAAAAAATAACATAAACTGAAAAAAAAAAAAATTTTCCATACAAAAATATACATGTATACTCAACTTATAGATTAATTCCCACTCTCGATGCTTCTATAGGCAACAGAAGCTTCCCATCATCTGCTGCTCAAGCAGTAGTATACTCATGGGTAAAAATCCCAAAATGACCTATCCCACTCATCTGTGAATATATAAATGGCAAATTAGAGATGAGATTAAGGAAAGTTCTGTTACCTATCAAGTATGACTTTTGACTGAGAATTAGACTAAGACAGGTTCAAACATCCTATAACCAGAATAAAGTTGACTTCATTTCCAGAAGAAGATATAAATTTGATTTATCTATTACCTATAAATTAAATTAAAATTCATTATTTTTGATTTTTGAGGATAGGAATTTAGAGATGATTTTTTTTTTTTAGCTCAGTTGCTTTCTGGAGAATGTTATGTAAGTCTAGTATTTTAAAGATAGCCATTGAAAGCATTAAATTACTTGTACCCCCAGATATGGTAAACTATCTGATATAGTTACCTATTCATTAGAAAAATGAATCAAGATAAAAAAAATTCACCCATGAAATATAAACCAACTGATATTTATAAAGTCAAGTTTTCAAAAATTATCTAGGACTCCTAAATTAGATTATTATAGCACTTGACTTTCTGTGAGTGAGTGAATTATTCAGGAATTTACATTCTCAGTAAAATGAAATTTTAATCTAAGGATTTATAGGCAATTGACAAGATTTAATTATTTATTTAAATGAAAACACAACTGTTGCTGATCAAATGGAAGTAATCAATAATCAATAGGGAGTAAACTTCAGTAAGATAAATGCTTATATTCAAGAGGCACCCAAATCCTTTTGTGCAGTTTTCTTCCCAACTAAGTATAACTCAATTGTGAGCAAGTCTCAGTGGTTTGCGGACTTTAAAAGTCTAGTTTAGACCAAGTCCAAAAAAATCCACAAGCATGTCTTCCACATTTGAGGTTAGATATAATATTGGGTCTAAACACCCTTTTCAGTCAGTCCTGTTCAGTCATCAAGGATTGTACTATGTAAGCGGAACCTACAGATGGCCAATGAGAAGACCTATCTCAGAAGACACTCTTTCAGACTAGTAAGAACAGTCTCTTGGAATAAGCACAAGGAATAGTTTCAAAAGTAAATCTCCAAATGAACAGAGTTCATCAATAAGCTCCCCAGAAAATATGAATCAAAATTTCAGATATTTCAACTGTGGTACTTGAGGACTGGAAAGGAAAAGGGGAGGAAAGCTTACTTAACAGGGGGTAGAATTATAGGTGTCTTCTTTTTTCTCCCATTATTAGAGTTGTAATTATTGTGCAAAAAAAATCAGTGTATTTTAATTATAGACTATCAAATATTCATGAATATACTCAGCAAAATTACACTTCCCTAAGATGTATACTAAACTGTGACAAACATCTACCCTCAAGGAAATAATTCAGTAAATACAACTACATTGAGTTATACAGGAAGTGCCTTTAGCCCTTTAGCTGTGGTAAAAGGCACAGTTGGGGTGTAATATGAAGAACTAGGGATGCTTTTGCCCTCTTTGACATTGACTTTGTGGCTCCATTAAGTCAGCTGTGTATTAGACTACCAATCTTCCCTTGAGACATGGAAATTATTCATTTCCTATTTATAAAACAGTTTTTTAAACAATAATGTTAAAGAAACAGGTAAAAAAAAATTATAAAACAAAATAAACTTATGGAAGAAAAATTAAATAATTCATTTGCTATATATAACATATAATTTTTAGCCACATTCCTTCAATCAAAAACAAATATGGAGTTCAGCTAAATAAACAACCTCACATAAGTAAGATCAATAGATGTCTTATCAATATTAGTTCAATCTTCCTAACCATTAATATTCAAAATGGATATAACATCAAGAATTACAGGTAGTCTTCAGTTTATCTATCCCTTACAGCTTATAATAAAATATTAAGTTTGAAACACTGCCTGTCTCAATGTTTTCTTTTCCAAAAGGAGGTATACTACTTAGCTATACAACTTCCAACATGGGTGGTTCAAATGAAGGTCATTATTGACTGTAGAAGAAATACATCCCACTCACATTTGAAACAAATCCATAATACTTAAAATGCCTCTAAAAACATATTTACTAAAGCACTGAATTACTTCCAGTGTTACACTTCACTTTGCAGAATATGGAAAAAACAAATTTAGTCTCCAGACTGAATAACTTTAAAACAAAAAGGTTAGTAATTTATGTAATAAGATGTTATTAATTTCATCATTAACAAAAAATGGATAAAAACAAAAATTGCTTTACAAAATTATATAATTTCTTGCTTGTAAAATTGGGAATTTTAATTTATGCTCCATTTCAGTTAAGACACTCAAAAAGATCTTGTTTTTCTGACTTTGTACACTAAGATCATGTGACCTTTTTGACATTTTTTAAGAAACCACATGCACCTGGGGTTGTGTTAAATGTCAGACCCTTATCTCTCTGTAAAACAAATTATCTAAATTCTTTCAAGCTGTTGAAGGCATTTTAAACCACAGAAGAGGAGACAAAAATGTATTTCAATTGTTTTAAGGAAGTACATGGTCAAATATACCATGTTTTTCACATTCATACTAAAAAGTATCCCCAAAAAATGTTGTTTTTGCATGTTTTTAAGAATGCTTTTGAACAAACTCTTCATTATTATGATGAAATGTTAGCCATCTTTGCCTTAGAATGCAATAGAGGCCTACACTTTTATTAGAATCTGGACTATGTAAGCACTATCTGTTAGCTACTACTACTAGAAACTACTTTATAGTGCAATAAGCAACCATTTATTTATCATATTGTTCATGACTATAGGGACTCACTTTTTTTTTTTGCCAAATCACTAAGAATTCAAAAACCAAGAATTATTTCCTTTTATTCTATTTGTAGGGAAATGTACTACCAGTAAGTAATCAAATGGTATTTATTCCACAAAAAGCAACTTTTGGATTATGTACATCCCTAGATCAGTACAAAGAAAAAGTTTAAATGAGACATTCATTTCCTTCATTTCTATTTTCAATCACCTCTCCATTTGTGAATTTCAAGTTCCCCTGTAGCTTTACCTTTCACCATTCTATCACTTACTTGGAAGTTAAGTTCAGCCTTTATCTCTGACTTCTAACACCATATTTCCACTTGCCCCAAAGACTTTGTACGGTAAGGAAAAATGTCAGGCTTTTCTGCCCTCCCGCCATCAGGATAGATGATGGATCCTTGCGGTCCTGAATGCATGCCTGATGGCGGGCACCTGGAGTAGGGTGTGGGCAGATGTATATAGGATTCACCTGAGCTAAGACTGGGCTTTTAAGGGCGGCGTTACAGGGACGCCAGCAGAAGCTGAACGAGAAGCTGAGAGAGAAGCAGAGCCATGAGAAGAGCAGAGAGAAAGCCAGAGAGAGCCCAGATAGAGTGAAGATTTGTTGGGGGCTGGGAGGCCTGCCAGCCTCCCGGCCCCCCAGCACCCCTGCCTGCCGTGTACCTGGTAATCCCAATAAAAACCTGCAAAACCCCTGAGGGCTCCAGGACACCTCCTTTACCCGGTCTGCTGGATCCTAGAAAACCTGCTCAGTGGCCATTCCTGCCTTTACAACTTGTCCAGGCCAGAACTATGAATTCTATATATT